TAGTAGCTGTTGTAATGGGTATGAGGTAGTATTTCATTGTGGTTTTGACTTGCGTTTCCCTAATGATTAGTGAAGTTGAGCATCTTTTTGTGTGCTTATCTGCCATTTGTATAATTTAGAGAAATGGCTATCCAAATCCTTTGCCCATTTTCTGGTTTTGGTTTTATTTTTAAATAGATTCGGGGTCTTGCTATGTTGTTTGGGCTGGTCTCAAACTCCTGGGCTTAAATCATCTTCCTGCCTCAGCCTCCCAAGTAGTTAGGACAACAGGTGCACACCACCATGCCTAACTTCTGACCATTTTAAAATCAGATCGTTTTTTGTCGTTGAGTATAGGAGTTCTTGCATCTGGATATTAGCCTCTTAGCAGATATGTGATTTGTAAACAGTTTTTCCCATACTGAGACTGCCTTTTCACCCTGTAGATTGTGTTGATTGTAGTTTAAAATTTTGAAGAACAATTTACCTATTTTTTCTTGTTTTCTCTGTGCTTTCGGTGTCATCTGAGCACACAGTTTTAATGATAAACAGAGCACGCACTTCTCCTTCACAAAGAGGCAGTGCTCCCACCAGGAAACTCAAATTCTGCTCAACACCATTCAATCCAGTTGTAAGAGGGAGCACGTGCTGACAGCGTCCTTCCGCATACCCCATCACAAACACTTCCTACCAGCCAACAGTATCAGCTGCTTAAAGGACACTAGGGGTCAACAGGAGCTGTCTTTTTTTTTTTTTTTTTGGACACAGATTGTTGCTCTGCTGCCCAGGCTGGAGTGCAGTGGTGTGATCTTAGCTCACTACAACCTCCACCTCCTGGGTTCAAGTGATTCTCCTGCATCAGCCTCCCAAGTAGCTAGGACTACAGGAGCATGCCACCACGCTCAACTAACTTTTGTATTTTTAGTAGAGACGGGGTTTCACCATGTTGGCCACACTCCAGGTGATCCACCTGCCTCAGCCTCCCAAAATGCTGGGATTACAGGCATGAGCCATTGTGCCCGGACAACAGCAGCTGGTTTTATAAGCTTCTTGGCAATAGTCGATGCCACCTTTTACCAAGAAGCATAACTCTGATCACTGTCTCTGTAGTTTGGGTTTCTTCCCAACCTTTAGCAATGGAATTCATCAGTCTCATTCCAGAATGTATTCTTGTGCTGGAAAAATGTGCTTGGCTTATGGACAAGATTACTGTGCTTCAGTTGAAATCAACTGAAATATTTGATTGAAGTAATTGAAATATTTCACAGTATTCCACTTTTTGACAATGTTCTTTTACAACAGGTAGTGCATGGGGACCAGGCAGGTATAACTCACTGGCCCAGGAAAATCCAATTTTTACTGTGCCCCTTTATTTTCACTCTTTTTTTTTTGTTGTTGCTTGTGTAAAATCATCATCCTTGAAGAGCCATTTGTTCCAGCCCATACAGACGAACACTGTTTTCACACTGGAATCCCACTGTCTGCTTATACCAAGAATGTTTTTTCTTTTTTGGAGATGGAGTCTTGCTCCATGTCCCAAGCTAGAGTGCAATGGCATAATTTCGACTCACTGCAACCTTCACCTCCTGGGGTCAAGTGATTCTCCTGCCTCAGCCTCCTAAGTAGCTGGGATTACAGGTGCCCACCACCACGCCCTGCTTTTTTTTTTTTTGTATTTTTAGTAGAGATGGGGTTTCACCATGTTGGCCAGGCTGGTTTTGAACTCCTGATCCCAAGTGATCCACCCACCTCAGCCTCCCAAAGTGCTGGGATTAACAGGTGTGAGCCACCATGCCCAGCCAGTGTTTTCTGTTAGTGGAGAACATGGGCTCTGAAGTCAGACTGCTGTGTTTAAATCTAGTCTCTGCCATGTAATAACTGGGGGGCTTTTGTCTCTATGTGGTTTTGCTTCCCCAACTGTAAATAGAGCTAATGATGGCACCTAATTCCTAGCATTGTTGAGAAGATTCAGCAAGTCACATATAAAGCAGTCAGGGCCTGGCACATGATACGTGCCATATATTATTTTATTTATTTATTTATTTATTTATTTATTTATTTATTTAGGGTCTTGCTGTTGTCCAGGCTGGAGTGTAGTGGCGCAATCACAGCTCACCACTGTAGCCTCGAACTCCCAGTCTCAGGTGATCCTCCCACCTCAGCCTCCTGAGTAGCTGGGACTACAGGCACATGCCACCATGCCAGGGTTTTTTTTTTTATTTGAGAAGGAGTCTCGTTCCGTCACCCAGACTGGAGTGTAGTGGCATGATTTCAGCTCACTGCAACCTCTGCCTCCCGGTTTCAAGTGATTCTCCTGCCTCAGCCTCTTGAGTAGCTGGAATTACAGGCACACACCACCATGCCCAGCTTATTTTTGTATTTCTAGTAAAGACAACGTTTCACCATGTTGGCCAGAATGGTCTCGATCTCCTGACCTCGTGATCCACCTGCCTTGGCCTCCCAGAGTGCTGAGATTATAGGGGTGAGCCGCCTTGCCTAGCCAGGGTAATTTTAAAATTTTTTGTAGAGACAGGGTTTCACCATGTTATCCAGGCTGGTCTCAAAATCCTGGGCTCAAGTGATCCACCCTACTCAGCCTCCCAGTGTTGGGATTACAGACATGAGCCACTGTGCCTGGCCTTAATACATAACCACAATCAGAATGAGTATATTAATACTTTATGATTCAATGAAGCACTTTAAGCTTGTGGCTCATTTGGAATTGAAGATATAAGACAATACAGTAATAACCATCCCCTCCCCATGGGCAGTCACTATCCTCACTTCGGCATTCGTCATTCCCACGCATGTTTTCACACATTTACAACATATGTATCCATAAGCAATATATGGTGCTTTGTGAGGTTTCAAAGCTTTATATAAATGCACCATCCTGTCTGTATCCTCCCATACTGCGCTCTTTTCAGTTGTCGCTAAGTGTCTGAGATTTATTTATGTTGATACGTGCAACTGTATGTCATGCATTTTTAACTGCCTTAGAGTAGATTCACCATTGGGTGAATATATGATTTATCTGTCCTCTTGTTGATGGGCATTGGGCTTTTTTAAATTTATGAGACTATTTATTCTTTTCTTCCCTGGCTTGGCTTGGATTTGGCATTATCATCATTGGCTGAGCCCTCACTGTGCTTCCTGGGAGCCGGGCTCAGCTTCCTGCCTCCACGGGCACTACAGGAGGGAACAAAGTCACAGTCAGGGTCATGTGGAAAGAGGCCAAGGATGGATTCGACCCAGGTCTGCTGATGCTTAAATCTGTGTTCCTAGCTACTCTGTCCTCTGCTTCCTTAGGAACAAATGCTTGGCGTCATTCTGAGATGGTGTCCAGGCCCCTGGCAGTCTCTGCTGAGCCCCACAGCCAGGACCAGGGCCTCTGGAAAGGCACAGTGCCTGGCGTGAGAATGGCTCAGTTTGTGTTGCATTCTTTGGGTTGTTTCGGAACTCCCTGCTCCTCCAAGGATATTTAACATCATTGGAGACTTTTTAGCAGAGTGACCCATGGGTTCCACATTTGCTGGGTAACACAGGAGGACCAGGGCTTTGGCCAATAAACTAAAAGGCCACAATCATTTGCTCGTGGGTGGCAGTGAAGGGGTGGAATGGAGAGAGGTGATAGAAAGCTGGGACAGAAGACTTCAGAAATAACCAGGGAGATACTGGAAAGCCACTGCCATGAGCCTGGAGGGACACATGATCCTGGGAAGCAGCAAACGGTGCTGATTTTGCTTTAATGTAAATTCAGCTGAGAATAATTTAGAATTTCAAAAATTCCAATCTTGGATCTCATTCCAAAGTCTTCTGTTTACTGGTGAACTAATGATAAAGACAATGGGGGCCGGACACAGTGGCTCACGCCTGTAATCCCAGCAGTTTGGGAGGCTGAGGTGGGCTGATCACTTGAGCCTAGGAATTCAAGACCAGCCTGGGCAACACTGTAAGACTCTGTCTCTACAGAAAAATACAAAAATTAGCTGGGCACAGTAGCATGTGCCTGTGGTTCCAGTTACTCAGGAGGCTGAAGTGGGAAGATCACCTGAGCTCGGGAGCTTGAGGCTGCAGTAAGCTGTGATTGGGCCACTGTACTCCAGCCTGGGTGAGGGAGTGAGACCCAGTCTCAAAAAAAAAAAAACCAAGACAGTGGGTATCAGGGGAGTGGACTTTGTTAATTTCTGCATCTCTCTGAGCCTCAGCTTCCTCATCTGTAGAATGGGAGAGGATCTGCCTCACAGACAAGTATGTGAGGGGCCTGGCATGGTCCAGATATGGTTGTTGCCTCCCTATGAGGCATGTCTCACCAGACTATAGCAGGCTGTGGTGGTGCAAAGTCCACCGACTGGCCTTGAACTGGTAGTTTTCTCAGTGCTGTAAAGGAGATCAGGATCAGAATGAGAATGACTGGGGCAAAAAAGTAGAGACAAGTCCCTACCAAGGGTCTCGCTCCCCTGGGCCCAGCATTCTAACCAGTTTCTTGTGTGGCCTCGACCCTAACTTATGGGTCCACTCTGAGAGCTGGGCGCACCTCATTGCAGTCTCCTTAGGTCACGAGCAGGTTCCAAGACAAGCAGGACACACACCTGCTTTCATCCTAGAGAGTTCATTACACATGCGGGGTGGATGGTGCAGCAGCAGGAGCAGAGGAGAGGAGCAGTAATGCTGGTGAAGTGACCTCACTGTGTGCCCTAAATATACAGGCACCACGACTGGATAGGGGGCATCTGCAAAGATGGAACCCTGCAGTGTCTGTGTTAGAAAAGCATTCTAGATAAGGAGAAATGTGATAGAAGAATGACTTCATCCCTAGGCAGCGCCCTGCTGCTGCTAGAGGCCCAAGACAAGCTCCACGGCTAGTTCCCAGTGTGAGGCAGCTACAGATCTAACGCAGCAATGGGGACCTGGGTCCACAAGACTCCATGCCACAGCTTGGGATGGCCGTTGCCTCTGTAATGAACCACTGTAGAAGTTTTCTCCTTCCGCTGCCCAAAGAAAGCCAGACTGGAGCCCCCTGGACACCAGGAAGGGGTGCCGATTTCTTTATTTATTAGACTCAAGTGCTTTAGTACAGACTGGTACAGAGATGATATATGTTTGTGCTTCAATACTTTCAAACACTGAGATTCTGATAATTTTAAGGTAAACAAGTTTCAAGACAGACTAGCTTTTTTAAAATATCCTTTTGATAAATTATTTTTATATAAATAACAGATAAAGGGAAACCAACATCTTTGACAAACAAGGTCCTGAAGCATGAGCACTGTTTGGTCTGAGGGAAAGGACAGAACAAGCAGCGGGAGTGACGCCCGGCGCAGAGGCCTGCGGTTCTGTCCTAAGGAAATCAGGTCATCTAAGTTGGGAGGGAGGCAGGGGAGAGATCTGACGACTAATCTCAGTGCAAGGGGAGATTTCAAAGCCTTGAGAAGAGAACACCACGATGCAGCGAGCGGAGAGGGCGAGGCGCAGGCTCTGAAAGGGAGGCAGCGGCGCTGGGCTCGCGTACACCACTTTGCAAGGACATCACTAGACGAGTAATACATACATGGCCTGCGGGAGGTCAAGGGTGGCGAGGGGGCTGGGCAGGGGACATTTTTGTGACTTCCACTGTTATTACATTTCACGACAACAGCAGCAGCACAAATGGTGTGCTCACTGCTGGAGAATGAAAACTGCTGAGTCTTGAGGATGGCGAGACAGCCTTCCTGCATTTGCTGCTTTAGTTTTTGCTTTAGAGCTAAGTTTTATACGGAGAATAAAATGACCATCTTCTCTTATGAACACGATGACGTATGACGCCAACACGACACAAAATAAGGTATTATGAAGCATCTGAAACTGAAGATAATCTGACTGAAGATGCTTCCCGAGAGGGTTCAGGGTCTGTGTGAGTCCAATGGGACAAAGGGTCTGTGTGAGTCCAGTGGGCCAAAGGGTCTGTGTGAGTCCAGTGGGCCAAAGACCTTCTCCACAGTCATAGCCCTCTGCTCAGGGGCCTCCAGAACCCATCTGTTCTCATCCATTCCTGACACTTTGAACTAAAGCTGACTACAGAAAATGAGCTGTTGGGGTGATGCCTGGGGGCAGAAGGGCCTAGTCCACAGGCTGTGGACTAACTGCTTTTCCAAAGACATGGAGGCTCCCGGCAGAAGTTTGCTTCTCCCTCGTCGGGGTACCGTGACTTAGACTGGAGGACTTCCCTCAGGATCACAGCACTATGGACACAGGCTGGGGAGGGGGTACGGACAGGTTGTGGAGGAGGGGACACTGGCCTGTCTTTGCATGGACACCCCAGCCTCCACCCATAGCCGTACCACAGGGGGCATGAGATGCTGGGAAAGGAAAAGAGGTCTGTTCCACCTCAGACCTCCTGAGATGTCCCCTGATTGTCACCTCCCGGGTTATTTGGATGAGAGCAGGCACAAGGGGTAGGGACTGGAGTGAAGATAACAGATTAATCCTCCGTGTGAAATACTCCAAGAACACAGACATCTCTATGATTCACAACAAAGACAGGAACAACCTCAAACAAGGTTTTAAAAACACCCAAACTTCTACCTTTCCATACCCAAGCAATGTGCCATGTCACGCAGGGTTATGTACAAGGTCACAAATCTTAAGTAACGGGAAGAAGGCGTCCATCCATCCTAACAGTCCAGAAATTTCTGCCGTGCACCAATTGCACACAAACTTTTTAGGATACATATATAAGATACTCTTTTTAAAAAACACAATGCATTATTTTCTTTTGTTTCAAACAAGAAGAGGGCATCATTGAACACGAGAACGCAGCGGCAACAGTGCCGGCCAGGGCGTGCAGAGCTGGGGAGGCAACAGACGCAAAGGAACTGAGGCGGGTGGTGGTGGGAAGCTGCGGAGTGCTGTGGGATGGGGGATGTGTTTTGGAGGGGCGACTTATTTTTTTAACTGCTTATTTCTTCATCTGTTTTATTCAGTTTCTTCAGTGTGTCCAGCAGTTTCTGTGGGGTAAGGATGTGCGTGGATCCTGGAGGAGGCAGAGAAGACAGTGAGCTCGCCAGTTCTGGTTTCCAACACTTTTCCTTTCCTGTGCTTCTCCATTCCCAGATCTGTACCCACCCGCCTCCCCAACCCTGGTTGAGTCTAGTGGAAGTAGGGAAGGGAGTGGGGATTGGGGTTGGGGTCCCATCGCAATAGGCCTGGGAGATATTCAGGGACTGTGGATAAAGAAAACACATATTCTGGCTCAGGCAGGGTCCCAGGCTGTACCAAGGAACGAGCCGTCTTGCCATCAGGGTGCAGAGCCATCTGCAGGTGATAGGCAGCTGTGTTTCTCATTCACTCTTAAACTGCAAGTGAAGCCGGGCAGAGAAATTCCAAACATGGCAATGGGGGGAAAAGGTTGAAAATGGGGCCAGAGTTGATAGGGGGCTCATGTGTGGAAAGCATGGTGCCTGGGAGAAGAACTTGATAGGCAAAGCCCCCTGGGAGAATCCACTGACCTCTGGGAACCAGCTGGTTGACACTGCCCTGGTGGGTGGGACCTCAGGTGTGAAAGGGAAAGGGCCAGGGGACCTGAGGCCTTACCTTGCAGAGACCGCGAATTGTAAGAGATTAGAAATGCTTGCAAAAATTTAAGCTAATGGAATTAGATATACTTCTACTGCAAAAATAAAAATAAAAATAAATGAAAGTCTTTTTCATAAGGAGAGAGAGAGAGAGATCTAATAAGTGCATTAAAAAAAGATGCATGGATCGTGTGGTTTGGACATGGACTTAATCAAACAGAACAGAGGTGACCGGGGTGGTGTGTGAGTGAGCATGAGGCCTGCATGCATGCAGCAGTGGGCTTCAAAGAAAGGTCCCGGTGGAAGAGAAGAACGGAAAAAAAGAGACCCGTACTTGAAAATGTGCCTCCCTGGAGACATGGCAAAGGAATGGGCCTTCATAGGAACAGGGGAGCGGAAACCACCAGGTGTCGGATTTCCACTCCAAGGGCAGGCAAAAGAAGGCTTTGGCTGGCTCATTGGGCATGACTCCAATACCAGGACCCATATGCCTTTGACCACTACTCGCTCAGCTGACCCAAGACTGCTGGAACTGCAGCCCTTCCTGCTCACTCCAGACTAGCGGAAACTTGGAAAGCTCTCCCTGTTCTTCCAACATCCCTTTCTCTGCAGTTCAGGCCCCAGCTGCCCATTCCCGGCTGAGTAAGGAACTTGTCCTTGGCATGATGCCCTGTGCACACAGCCTGTAGGTGGCCTGTGCTGGAAAGCTGACTCATCATTCTGCAGAACCAAGGCTCCTTCAGCAAATTTAATGCAGGTTTCATGAGTGTGTCTCTGGGCTTTTTTATAGCGCTCCTTTCCCCTGAAGTCCACTCATTTCTGTGACCTTACCAATCCTCCTGCTAGTCCTAAAAGAGGCCAAAAGCTGCTGTACAAATGAGGAAAAAGGATGCATATTACAAGGCTTGCCCCAAACTCTGAAGCATGAACTGCTGCCAGGATGGGAGCCCTCCAAACTGCAACTCCATGTAGCCCATGTGTCCAGATGCTGGAAGTTGGCCTCTCCTACAGAGTGTGGGGATTCGCTTGGGAGTTTCCTCATTAAAGGCAACAGCAAGAAGCACATGTGCCAGAGAAAACATCCCCGAGGCCCTTCTTAGCCATCCAAATGACTCCAGGAAATAAGAGGGCCAACTCATCTTAGAGGACGCATCCGAAGGGGTTCCTCTGATCAGATGCTGATTCCAAAGTCCTCCCTATCTTTGCTGATTTGTAAATCTAGGATTTAGGGGAGGCTAAAAAGAGGTTAGGAAATTAAAACACTAGAAGTCTCTGATATTATCTAATCACAGACAATCCAGGGCTCCCAGTCTTGACTGAAGAAGAAAAATGCTAGGACTGAGTATTGGAGACAATCAGTGAGGCCTCAAAGACCTCTGGCCACAGGCACTGGCCAGGCCTTCACCTACATGGTTTCTTCTAGCTGGTGTAAATGCTGATCATCAGAAAGCCAACTCTTCACAGTCAATCATCTGTGTTGTTCTAATAAATTGTTCAGGCTTTTCACCAACATAAACATTGCAAATGAGGCTGTGTGAGTCCATAATTCACATTTTGCACTTGTTCTTATTTTGAATCCACAGATGGCTGACCACGTTGGTTTCCAGAATAGAGCAGCAAGTGGGCTCTACGGCTTTGAGGGCCTCACTTAGTCTCTGTAACTGGAATATTATGAAATATAAACAGTGGTCTCTAAAAACTAAGTTAAGGCCTGTCCACATGATTGTCTACATGTTTTCAAAGCTGTGGGCCAGACACAACATGCTCTGATAAGACAAAATCCTCCTTTCTACACTGACAGAATCTGAAAATCAAAAGTGTCCTTGCAGACTACCTGGTCCAAGCATTCTTGAATTTGGCTGAAGCAGACCTACTGACTCAGAATATGCCAGGTGGCACCAAAAAATGTGTACATTTAAGAGCAGCACAGGTGAGTGTGATTACACAGGTTTGGAAAACTGTGTAATCTGGACCACCCCTCTCATCTTACAGATGGGACTCGTGAAGGCCAGAGCAGTCAGGTGCTTGTTCAGCGTGGGTGGCACAGACAGGCCTAGAAGCTGTGCCCTCCAGGCTCTTGATTCTGGGGATTCTATGGCCCCTAGGAGGGGAGGGGATGGGTAGGTGGATGTTTGAATAGCAGCCAGGCAATAGGTGGGCTCTGAATTCAGATTCAAATCTGAGTATCAAAGAAAAATGAAACATACTGACCCCAATCTGGAATGAAGCAAAATATTCAACATAAAAACCCACAGACTTTCTCCCAAATGGTCCCATGTATTACAAAGATCTGATCCAGCCTTCAGCTCTCTTGTTTGCTTCTGACAGCCTCTTGGGCATTCCCCAATGATTAGTACTTTTATCATCAACTAACCAGAGCAGAGAGGTAAAACTCAATCAAAAGATTTCACTTCTTAGACAATGTGGAGGGATGACTGGTGATGATTTGGTGAGTTATGGTTAACCCTGACCACGGGGAGCCAGCCCCAGTTACAGGAGAGGAGCCCGGAAGACAGGACAAGGCATCATCACCCATGCACGGTGCCTGCTGGGAACCCTCTCATTTGCAACAGGAAAACTCATCTTCTCTTAAAAGATATGTTGGGTCAGGCACAGTGGCTCACGCCTGCAATCCCAGCACTTGCAAGGCTGAGGAAGGAAGATAGCTTGAGCTCAGGAGTTCAAGACCAGCCTGGGCAACATGGTGAAACCCAGTCTCTACCAAAAACACACACAAAAATAGTTGGGTGTGGTGGTGCATGCCTGTGGTCCCACCTACTAGGCAGGCTGAGGTGGGAGGATCGATTGAATCCAGGAGGCCCAGGCTGCAGTGAGCTGAAATCATGCCACTTCACTCCAGCCTGGATAACAGTGTAACTCTGACTCAAAAGAAGAAAAGACACAAAAGCTATGCTGCCACAATACTGGTCTTTAGGAGCAAACTCAGGCTTTCTGACGGTCTGCATTGTCCTATATTTTGGTCACCTGGAAGATCACAACAGAAGAGGGCAAGTCAGATCTTAATCTGCTTTCTGACCTCACTGGTATTAGGGTTCTGTGCCTCGCTTAACTGAATGCTCTAAAACCCAACATCACTCAGCAAATTATTTCAGAAGCTAGGAATATATGGAGCCTGTTTACTTTCTCTTTGTTTTGATGGCAGCTGAGACCTCCTCTGACAATCAAATATAAAGCAAAGGAAAATACTCTGCAAAGGAGAAGCTTGTTCTGAAGCAGGGAAGCCCAGACTTCATCCTAGCAGGAGCCTCTGCAGTTTCAGTCTGTGATTCTTTCAGATCCTGCAAGTGGTCTGCTATTGCTGCAGACTCGACTGAACATTTGTCTTTCTAGAAGTCTTGAAATACATACTGCAGCAAATCCATCCACCTACCTGCAGTCTGCACGCAGAACCAGATGTCTCTGATTTATAACCTATCAAGGTGCCTCTAAGGAATTATTTTTTTTAAAAAACAATGGCTTTCATTCACCACCTAATGGCCCTGCTTTCTAGGGAGGACCAGCCCAGGCAGGATGGGAGCTATAGCCTAGGGCTATAACCAGGTCTACTTTCTGGGTTCCCAACTACTTTCAGTTCCTTAGCACACTATTGCCCTGGCGTTCATGTCAAGGAAGGGAGACAGGGGGACATAAGCAGCGTAGCCTCCTGTTCCTACCTTTAGGAAGGAGCACCATTTTCCTTACACAAGCAGCTTCTGATGTCACCTAGCCAAGGTTCTGTTGGGCCATTCTCCTGAGACTCACCAGAGAGCGGGAGAGTGGGCAGGACTGCATGGTTTGAGGCACAAATCCACAAATCGTAATCACTGAATGTATAGAATGCAGAGGTCCTGCACATCTGGGGGAACTGGATTCCAGCCTCCTTGTGCTCCTATGCTATGGCACAGAGAATAAGAGTGTCTTCCTAGAGCCACACAGAGGAGCTGGGGTAGAGGCCAGTCCTCCTGGCTCTGAGTCCAGATCTTTCTCCACTGCTTACAAAGGACTTACACTCCATGACTCACTGGGCCACATCTCAGCTCTAGTGAAGGGGCTTTTTCAGGGTCCATTGTCAATGATGTACACAAAGTCAGGTACACAAAATATGGCCTCTTGACAGAATGTATAATAAGCTAAGGAGTCACTGATGTGATGATGGAAGCCTGCCATTTAAACATGTAGGAGGTTCCCATCATATCTGAAGGATGGAAAGAGAGAGGAGGGAATGAGGACAATTTTGAAGATCAAAATTTGGATAGTCTACCAAGCAGACAACAGGTTTGGGTAACAAGCTTGGTGGAGACAAAAACGCTCTCTAAAATCACACAGAGCATTAATAACAGGTTTATGCTGGGCATGGTGGTGTGCCTATGGTCCCAGCTATTCAGGAGGCTAAGACCTCTAAGCCACTGCACTCCAGCATGGGCAACATAGTGAGATCCCATCCAAAAAAAAAAAAAAAGATTTCTACTGAAAGGCTCTCGAACCTTACCAAGATACTTCAGTGGAAGAGAGGGGGGTGTGACTACTCAACTCTTGCAAGGATCCACTGAATTAAAAGTAATTACTAAAAGAACAAATGACTATTAAGTACCATTTCCTGCAGAGAAACATCAAACAAAAGCTCTTCCTGCTGAAGACTGGAGTTCCCCAAACATATGGCGGTTTGTGACCCAATTACCCCTTATGACTTATTCCTTGAGAAGTGCCTGTCCGAGGAAAAAGGGTATTTACACCGTCCATCCAGCTGCCATTGACCTGGGGTCTATTCTGACACTCCCTGCCAAGCTTCCCTCACCACTAGCCATCTCCACCACTGCCTGACTTCCTGGACATGGCATTCCCAGAACGTCCACTGGCCTCACAAACTCCCACACCCAGCACATCCAGGACACTCTACATTCCTTATGGGGGCCACAAATTCATCCCAGACCAGCAGGCTTGGGCACTGTGCCTCAGCCCTCCCCCAAAAGTTCAGTTTCTTCTCTGACAACTGTTCATAGCAGTCATTATCATTTTTGGTTTACACCCAGTGGCCTACAGGCATCTGACTGAGCAGCGCGGAACCCAAGGCATGAGTGAGCCAGCAGGTCGGAGCCTGGAGGGTTCATGGCAGGGTTGTGAGGGCAGCACTGGACACATTTTCAATCGGTGTTGAGAACTGCAAGCATTTTCTTGTTGAAACGAAATCAAATAAATAATAAACTAAAAAGGAAGAAATAAATAAAAACAGTGACGGAATAATCAAAGAAAGCCCTTCAGAGTGGAAGAGTTTCTTTTCTGTAATAAGCTGCTTTTACTTTGTTTCTTTGGCTCTCACTCCATTGTTGGAGCCTGATCCTCAAAAGATACCCTAGAGGACTCCCTGAAGTCGGGGTGTCTCAGGTCCATGAGAAATTTGGTGGGAGTAAGAATGTGAGTAGAACCTGTGGGAGAACAGAGGCCAGCTGACTGCTTGAACAAAGGTACGTCACAGGAACATGCCAACTTAGGCCTACATTTTATGCAGCCAATGAGGTATGAGAAAGCAAGACACATGTGCACACATGCGCGCACACACACACACACACACAAAGCGCACAAGCGCACACAGGGCGGCAAGGCGGCTGGCATGCAATGCACAAAGCAGGGAGGCCACACAGCGGACGTCAGCTGTCTGCGCGAGGCCCCTCCATGAATCTTCATGGGCAGTTGCATACCCCAGCTTCCCACCTCCCAGTATATGGAACCTCAAGTCAGGTCTAAAGATGAAGGGGAAGATTTATACCCAAAGCCTAGCTGTGACAGCTTCTGTCCAGAAAAGCTGTGTTTGAGCTCAGAATTATTCACTACATTCATGCAACACATATGCAAGCAGGGAGCAGAGAGCTTTCTCACCAGGGCTATACAACAGAAGGGAAAAACAGTTAGGTGGAGGGCTGGTGACCTGACGGAAGCTTGACTGCAGCGGGGAGGCACAGTCCCCCCACTGGATAGTGCTATCAGAGAGGCAGCTGACAGCCCCAGGTCCATCTTGAAAAACCCAGGAACAGCCATGTGGACTGGTCTATGGAGTCTACTCGCTTGGATAGCTTAGAGGCTGCTGTGACTTGCTAACCCCAAATTGGAGGTATAAAATCACCACTTGTTATTGAGATAATGACTGTACCTGGGATTATGACCAGCAGTGGGCACCTATGGGAGGTCAGAGATGCCTCCCAGCTGGGGCAGCTCAGGGCATCTCCCTGTAGCTCATGTGTAAGTGGCCTGAGAGGCCATCCTTGGCCCTGGAGAGTATAATTCCCCAATGGGTGCAGAGCACACCCCCCTTCCAAAGGGAGACCAAGAGCCCTGGCCTCACTCCTTGCTCAGCATGAGCTGTTTCCACGGAGGATACAGCCCAGCCAGGGCAGTGGCTACTTCTTGCCAGGTAGTATTAAGAGGGACCACCGGTGGCAGGTGCCCTTCATTTTGTTAAGGGCAAAATAGGACAAAAAGGGAGGCATCTGGAGAAAGCAAGGCTTTTCTTAGCTTATTCATCTTCTTCCAGCCCTAAAAATCAGAGAGTCCCCCAATGGCATGTAAAAGGAGAAAAGGCTCCTGCTGTGTTAAGCCAGCTCCTACAAGTCGCTTCCTCTCTTTTGGAAGATGAACAGGAATTACAAGAAAGGGAATGGCAGACCTAGAAAGTGGTTGGAGGTGGCTGGGGGAGTCCTGGGCAGAGTGTAGCAGCTGGGGAGTAGTTTCAGGCAGTACCTGCTCACAGCTGTCCGTCCATCTCCTGACAGGTGAGGAGGGCAATGACTGACTGCCATTAACTGCCCATTCCTGCCTGGGCATGAGGCCAATGCCAAGAAACTGACCTCATCTTGGGCCTAGTTCAAGGCTGTGAGTGAGTGTTACTGACCCCATTTTGTTGGGTAAGGAAATGGTTGGAGAGCTAGAGTTACTTGCTCAAAGTCTCCCACTTGCAGTTTGCAGAGCAGGAATCCGAGTCTGAGTCTGCCGGACCCTGGGATCAGGCACTTCCTACCTCATGAGGCTGCCTTCCAATGAGAGATGCAGCAGGGCAGACCAAGGAGGGAACCCTTCGCCCCTAGCTTCTGTTGTCCACAGTTATCTAGAGACTAAGTTTTGTAGGTCAAGGGAGTCTGTGACAGAATGCAACACCAAAGCATGGAATGAAGTTGAGGTGCGATGCAGCGGCGCCTTCTGCTTGAAGCATGGCCACTCACCTATCAGCACCTCCCACTTTCCGTTGGCCTGGGTCACCTCGTAGGCACAGCGCATCTCATTCAGGCTCACACCCCCAAGGATGAAAATGATAAGGCGGGGGCCACTACGGTACTCGCCCGGGGCCTTGTTCTTATGCCAGTGCCCATAACGGGCGCTGAGAGAGAGATAGAGAGAGAGAGTCAGTTTATCTGCATTCACAGCATCTAGTGCTTCACACCCCAGTGGTTTGTTTACGTATTAGGTTTGAACACTTGTGCCCCAAACAGAGTGGATGCTCAGTGAGTGTTGGCTACATTTAACTGCAATGCAATTTTCAAGTGGTTTAGTTGCCAGGAGAAGAGTCATTAAGAGCGCCTGTGCTGTGACCTTGTTACTCTTATAAACACGCAGGCGACCGACACAATCAGTTCAGCTCTGACATTTGCCGTGTCAAGTTCAGCAGCTTCCCCCTGCAGGAGGCTCATGGAGACGTCTACTCCAAGTCACTTGTGCCTCTGAGCTTGCCTGGGAAGCTCTGCTGTCAGTGCGCAGTGATGACAGCCTAAGATCTGCCTTCAGGCTGGCACACAGATCCCGTGAAAACACGTATTGAGTGAATGCCACTCAGAGGCCAGGGCCTCCCCAGCACCACACATCCCAGGGAGACACAGGCCTTAACCAAGTGGTCGCTGTTTAATGGGGTGGGTGGGGAGAAGGAAGTAAGCCCAAATCCTGGTCTGATGAAGAGCTCTGTGCCATAGGGCCAAGTGGAGGGAAGCCCTGGAACCCTGTCCAGGCACCACTGGGGAGGCTTCTCCATCTGGAGTTGCCTCCTGGAAATCATGGCGTAGCCAGGGAAGAAGAGTATTCAGTGGCAGGGCTGCTCCCAGAAAGGCCCTCCCTCTGTCCCTGGGCTTCCCTCAATAGCTCTTTACCTTTGACCTAGAAACCAAACAGATGAGTTGCTCCCAGAAGAAAATGAAAAAAATAAGATGAAATGAGCAAGTCCTTTCTGGCCACTGCAATGCTTTCCCCTACTTCCTGACTCATGACAGCCTTACAGTCACTTTCCAAACCAGGAAGGCACCTGGAGCATGTCTGGGCCAACAGAGAATCTGTCACTTTCTTTCCTTGTGCAATCACTTGCTATCCTGTTCTTGTCACCCAGCCTGACTGTGGCACTACTTGGGATTTTGTTTTTATGTCATGTTTGGCAATAAATGTTTCACCTCTTCTGCATGAGAAGGGCTGCCATGAGAAGATACCACCACAAGCCTCTGGCCCAGCTGAGGCCAAAAGTGAACATGGAGAGGAGACACAAGAGAGAAGACAGGCGGGGAAAGCAGGAGAGGAGGAACAGATAAGTGCACGTCTGGGTGCCAGAAGTGGCAGAGCTACAGTGCCAGGGTCACCCTCTCAAGCTGCTAACTCTACCATCCCAAGTGCATGCTCAGCCCTGATTGTTCCCGGGAGCCACTGTGTGGAGAGACCACGTGTGTTACCCACTTGTCAGCTGGGGACATGTGGGCTGCTTCCACCCTTAGGCAGTGTGAGTAAAGTTATGAAGGCTGATTTGCTGCAATTTTAAACAGGGTGGTGAGGGAAGATTGGAGAAGGTAACACTTGATTAAAAACCAAAGGAGAGAAGAGGCAGGCCATGTAGACATATCTTTTGTTTTGTTTTGAGACGGAGTCTCACTCTGTCACCCAGGGTGGAGTGCAGTGGTGCAATCTTGGCTCACTGCAACCTCTGCCTCCCGGGTTCAAGCAATTTTCCTGCCTCAGCCTCCTGAGTAGCTGGGACTACAGGCACAAGCCACCATGCCCAGCTAATATTTGTATTTTTATAGAGACAGGGTTTCACTATGTTGTCCAGGCTGGTCTCGAATGTCTGATCTCAAGTGATTCACCCGCCTTGGTCTCCCAATGTGCTGGGATTACAGGCATGAAATACCACACCCAGCCCATGCAGATGTATCTGGGGACAGATAATTTCAGGCAGAGGGAAAAGTGCAGTGGTATTTAGGCAGACGTGAGCCTGACTATTCCAGGAAGTGCAAGGATTTGGCTGATGCAGAGTGAGGGAGGGAGGTGTAAGGGATGAATCAGAAGAGAAACAGGATGCCGGAGGGGGAAGGGCCATGGGGCCACTCTGTGGACCTGGCCCAGCTGGAGCTGTGGGGAGCAGCGGCAAGAGGGTTCTGGTGGATCACACAGATGCACAGTGGGACTGCTGTGGAGCGGCCATCCAACCAGAGCTGGCCCACACCTGTCCTTGCTCAAGGATTTTCACCTACCTGACGGCGGTGGTACTGAAGGAGGCAGAGGAACGGGTAGAGATGTAAGGGTAGTGCTTGGTGTCAAGTTTGTCCTCAATAGTGTCCTGGAAGGAAAAGAGACAGATATTAGCTTGCCATCTGTCTAAAAAGTGCTGACAGGAACCAAGGCCACATGATCTGTAGAATATGGCACTTGGCAAAACCACAGCCAAGTTTGCAACAACCAGAGATCCCTTCCCTGTGGCCAGAGGTGCCTAGCACAGGGCTCAGGTTCACCAGATGCTTTGTAACTGGCTGCTATACTCAGTCTGCTTTTTAAAAGAAGTTTTTCTTGCTTCTCTTCCAGTTTATTCATTTTCATGTGCACACACACACATGCAGCTCATGTGAGGCTTTTATCAATGCTGCATTCTGTCCAATAAATTCCTGATACTTGCCATCAGCCTTGTAGAAACCAGGCACAAGCAGTGTCTATCCTGCTCAAAGGAGCCTTACCCCCTCCATTTTTCAAGTGTTTAATTATCCTGTGGGTGGACTCTCACCATCTACCTCCTGCTGCCTAGAAATCTACACTCCTCTTTACAGCTCCCACATGAAGCCTATACATGTCTCTTTAGGGGATCAGAGAGGAGGGGGAGAAAAAATGATCAGAGAACAAAGGAGGGAATGAGACAGAGGGGTTGGCTTTATCCCAACAAGCAAAGAGATATAATTGGTTTCTAGATGCTTCATGTTAACCCATCCTTTTAGTCTGTGGATTTTAAAATGGAAGCTGACGCATTCTATATATTTAAAATACATTTATATTAATGTACAATTCAGTAGGAACACCTGGGCTGCCAGGAATTAACTAAGCGATCCTGAGAAAAACCTCTTCATTCTCTAGACCTGTTTTGTTCACTGATCAAGTTGGAAGTTGGGCAGATGATCTCCGGGTCCATCCCCAAAGATCGTGCAGGATTCTATGCAGCATCTCTTCCTGCTACAAGGAGAGAAGGGAGTGACTCCACAGGACTACTGTGGTGCCCACCACCCAATACACCTTCCAGCCAACAACTGCAAAAACACCTGCTGCACTAGAGGCTCTAGACGGACGACACAGCAGTTGAGGGGACAGGACCAACATACTAAAAGACAACTCGAGGCACCTAGCAATAAAGGGGTCCAGGGGCAGCCTCTGTGTGCTGGGTGGGTGGACAGGTGGGGCAGTAGATGGAAATGGTGAGACCCAAGAGGTGCTTTGATGGAAAGCAGGATCTCGGAAGGCGGAGGGTGAGAATGTGCCAGGAAAGGGGCTGGTTTGGGCAGAAGAGCAGAGTCCAATTTGCTGGTGTGTACAGGCTCAGGGCAAGAGCAGCAGGAGGAGGGCAGGGCAAGGCAGGCAGGGCCGCTCTGGGGAGGTGTGCTGTACCCCTGCACCTGTGTGGAGATGTGATGTCACTCATCTGACCTTTGAGATGCACTTGGGCCCCTCTGGATGCAGCACCTTAGAGGGATCTCTATTATAGGAGCAGAGTCCTCCAAAATATAATGACAAATAGATCTGGGGCTGTGCTTCTCAGTCTCTCTGCTCTTCATAAACCCCCAGGGCAAGGCATGCCATGAGGGCCAAAGGAGGCCTGGATGTGAATCCTGGTAGCACCCATGAAGTCAGTGGCGGTAGCACCGTGAAGTCAGCACCACCTTGCAGCAGATGAAGATGGAAGCATCCAGGCTGACAAGTCAGGGCCCTGGGCCTGGTTCTTCCTCCCCGCACCCCAGCACTGACCTCCATGATGTCCTTGATAATCGGGGTCCACCGCGAAAGCTGGTATGTCTGCTCGCTGATGCGTTCCTTCCGCTCTGGCTTGCTCCGGCGACGCAGCGTGGACTGCGTGTACACACACACCAGGTTAGAACCCAAGTCAGGGCCACTTGGGCCCTAGGTGATCTCTGCTACTCTCTGGAGATTCTCTGAAGGACCCCAGAGGCAGCACTGGCAAAGAGTAATGGAGGGGACGGTTTTCCTTGGAATAGCCCAAAATGTGCCCTTTTGGGAACGTGAAGCAAACCTGTTCTTTAAAGTCATAAAAAGGCAGGGTGTGGTGGTTCACACCTATAATCCCAGCACTTTGGGAGGCTGAGGTTGGGGGATCACCTGAGGTCAGGAGTTTGAGACCAGCTTGGCCAACATGGCGAAACCCCACCTCTATTAAAAATATAAAAATTAGCTGGGAGTAGTGGCAGGCACCTATAATCCTGCTACTTGGGAGGCTGAGGCAGGATAATCACTTGAACTTGGGAGGCGGAGGTTGCAGTGAGCTGAGATTGTACCACTGCATTCCAGGCTGGGCAACAGAGTGAGATTCCATCTCAAAGAAAAAAGCCAGGTATGGTGGCTCATGCCGGTAATCTCAGCACTTTGGAAGGCTGAGGTGGGCAGATCACTATGTCAGAAGATCGAGACCATCCTGGCCAACATGGTAAAACCCTGTCTCCATTAAAACACAAAAAAGTAGCTGGGCGTGGTGGTGCACACCTGTAGTCTCAGCTACTAGGGATGCTGAGGCAGAATTGCTTGAACCTGGGAGGCAGAGGTTGCAGTAAGCTGAGATTATGCCACTGCACTCCAGCCTGGCGACAGAGTAAGACTCTGTCTCAAAAAAGGAAAAAAGGCATAAAAAATGGCATACATAGGTCAAGTACATAAGTGCCATTAAAAAAAGAAAACTCCAGGCCGGGCGCGGTGGCTCACGCCTGTAATCCCAGCACTTTGGGAGGCCGAGGCGGGTGGATCACAAGGTCAAAAGATCGAGACAATCCTGGTCAACATGGTGAAACCCCGTCTCTACTAAAAATACAAAAAATTAGCTGGGCATGGTGGCGCGTGCCTGTAATCCCAGCTACTCGAGAGGCTGAGGCAGGAGAATTGACTGAACCCAGGAGGCTGAGGTTGCGGTGAGCCGAGATCGCACCATTGCATTCCAGCCTGGGTAACAAGAGTGAAACTCCGTCTCAAAAAAAAATAAAACTCCAGGTGGCAGCACAGTTGCACTGAATGAATGCACATCTCCATTTTCATTTTGATTCCTCTTGTGAACAAGAGTTTTAAAACACCAAACTGCTGGTTACAGGGCTATGGTCTGGTGGCACTGGAACAGTTCTGTCTATAAGATTCCAGAGGGAGAATATTTGCAACCCTAGCTTTGTTAGTGCTGTGCCTATAGAAGACAAGCACACAGTGGGGCTGTGATGTGTGAGGCTTATGGCAGAGTACTCTGCAAGGGTCCTGGAGGCCCCACCCCGCCTTTTCTAGAGCACATCACATGGTCCAGATCTCCCAGACAACCTGCGCTGACTTGGCTCTGAACCAACCCAGTGCAGAAGACTCAAAGGTAGCCAAACTGCTAGCTCTAAGTGTCATATTCTCATCTTCACAGGGGGCGCTGAGGCTAAGTTGTCCAAAGGTGAGGCCAGACAGACTCTGAGACATGACAGATAAAACAGTGGGGACCCCTGTTATGGTTTGGTTCCAAGACAGCTCAGCTTTCACAACTGTGCATGACTCACTGCTATTCAGGTCTAGGTTCTTGGCTTTGTGTCTCTAGTTTATATATAGCTTTACACCTTTACCCCTCTGATTCCGCATCTCTCTCTCTCTCGACATACGAGTGTGTATCAGAAGATGCTGTACATCAGTCAGAGCAGAAGCAGACAGATCTGCCAGCTCCCCTCCTTCCTCCCCCTGGAACCTGAGCTGGCTCCTTACATCGGTGACAATGGGCACGCCGAGGTGAGCCATGTTGGTGATGATCTCACTGTCCTCTGGGGGGATCTGGGCGTGCTGGATCAGTTTGTTCAGGTTTTCCTCTGTGATGCCTGAGGACACAAGACACTGATCACCACACCCAGCCCCCATGTACCCAATGGCACCGGCCAGATGGTGGCCCTTCTCCCCTTAGGTTAGTGGACATTGCTCCTCTACCTCATCAGCTTCACTATAGGTGAGGACAACCTGAGCTTCCCGATTCTCCTTGAGCTACTCTGTGGTCTGTTTCCCTCTGCCCCTCCCTCTACTTCTAAGCAATCCCTGCCCACCACTGCCCTGAATCAAAGACAAAATGGACAACAGTCTTATTATCTGTCTTTTGGACAATGGACACTCCTGGGCAACTGTGACTGAACTGGGTGAAAGTCAGTTCTTTAATTGCAGAAGTTACCAATATGATGCAAGTTAAAAATACCTGATGGGCGTAGCACTGGTAAACTGGCCACAAGGCCACAAGGCCAAGCAGCTTTCCCTCTTTCCCCAGCCCTGTCCTCTTTCATCTAATCCATACCATTTATTAACTCTACAATGATGGGGAGACATTCAGCCTCTAGCTGCAATGATCTGACTACACTGCATTTCCCCAAACAAAAAGGGCCTCTAGGATCTTCTTTTCCTTCCCCAGTCCATGTCTTTTAAATGACATTTCTACTTCGTTTCCTCTCTCTCTCAGTTGTCTTAGTTTTCCTAAGACAGAGCCCGTGCCTTCCTCTAGGTCCCATAGCCCTACCATTCTTCAAAAAGATGTAGAGAAGGATGATGCGGATTTTGTCGTAAGTGCTGACATTGGCATCCAGCAGAATGGGGACGATGGCTCGCATGGGGTCCTTGATCTTCTCCCCCTCGGCATCTGTGCCCATGGCCAGGTCCTATGGAAAACATACCTCGTTGGCCCCATCTCTCTGGTGACAGTCTTAGCAAATTCAGGATCTGCAGACGTCCAGAACTGCCAGCTTGGTTGGGGAAGATCTTAAACAGGTGGTTCTATTCTCATAATGCACTACAGTTAGCACAAGTGTGATTGGCACTGTTTCCCACAGCATCAGTGAGAGTGGATGAAAGCCCTGAGTGGCACTTGCCAAACAGAAACCATAGTGATTTGCCATCTTATTTTAAAGTAGGCTGTTCACTGTAGGTAGGTGCCAGTGTACTTGTGCCAACTTCTCAGATAAAGACTCAATCCTGGCGAGGGATGGTGGCTCACATCTGTAATCACAGCACTTTGGAAGGCTGAGGTGGGAGGATCTCTAGAGCCCAGGAGTTTTGAGACCAGCCTAGGTGACAGAGCAGAGACCTCGTCTCTACCAAAAATAAAAAAATTAGCCAGCCCTGTAGTTCCAGATACTCAGGAGGCTGAGGCAGGAGGATTGCTTGAGCCCAGGAGTTCAAGACTGCAGTAAGCTGCACTCTAACCTGGGTGACAGAGCAAGACCTTGGCTCATTAAAAAAAAAAAGAAAGAAAGAAAAAAAAAATGCCAGGCACGGTGGTTCATGCCTATAATCCCAGAACTTTGGGAGGCCACGGTGGATCACCTGAGGTCGAGTTTGGGACCAGCCTGACCAACATGGAGAAACCCCATCTCTACTAAAAATACAAAATAAGCCAGGCATGGTGGCGCATGCCTGTAATCCCAGCTACTCAAGAGGCTAAAGCAAAAGAATCACTTGAACCCAGGAGGCAGAGGTTGCAGTGAGCTGAGATTGTGCTGTTGCACTACAGCCTGGGCAACAGGAGTGCAACTTCCATTTCAAAAAAAAAAATTAAGGCTAAATCTTGGTAGGTCCTCTGGAGGTACAAGGCCCTGAGAGGGATCAGGGCTTAAAGGGATGCACTTGCCTCCCATAAAGAGTCAGGATTTTAGGATGCCTCTGTGTAGCTAGATTCCTTCCACTCTGCTTCCCCTCACACTGAAGCACTTGCTTTTTGAGTTTGAACTGCTCCGGGATTTTAGCCTGTTTTTAATCTTTCTACCATATTTCATGGGTAAGGAAGGGGGAAAAAAATCACCCCCAAACCAGCAAATCCAAACCCCAGGGGATGAAGGGGAAGATAAGGGCTGAAAAAGACTAGAAATGAAAGAGTGAAGCGAACACAAGCTCCAGGCCCCACTTCATGATGCAAGCGAGACTCAGATCCAGAGAGGGCAGTACACTGGTCTCAGCCAACCACGACTCACAGCTGCAGCTACCTTTGTTGCTCTTAGGAGGTTGCCTGAAGGCTCTCTTTTTTCTCTCAAGATCTCAAGAGTCCACACAAATTATGATCTTGAGTTCATAATCTCTCTCTAATCTATGTCCCAGGAAGGCAGGACACCTCTCACAGGCCCCTTCACCTTTCAGTTCTACCACCAAGCCTCAACAGACATTTGACTGACAAGACCGGATTTTCATACTGTAAGGCCAATTAAATGCAACTAGTCCAACAATACTTTTGATCACTTCTGAAAATTTGTAAACTTCTAAAATTTAATCCTGAACTGCATTTTTACTGATTTAGGTATGATCTATTTTCTGGATGGTCAGGTTGTTTTAGAGAGGACACCCTGTGTTTGCTATAATCCCCTGTAAAACTCCCCTTATGAAATATCCAATGATACAGGACAGGGCTTACAATCCTAAACTGAGCCTGTTACATCAAGCCAAAGGATTGAAATCTTAGCTTCACACTGAGATCTTGAATTGTTTTTTTTCTGTGAAAAGAGACCAAGCTGAGGATTCAGAAATTTTTTTTGTCTCGCTCTGTCGCCCAGGCTGGAGTGCAGTGGCACGATCTCGCCTCACTACAACCGCCGCCTCTCAGATTCAAGCGATTCTCCTGCCTCAGTCTCCCAAGTAACTGGGAATACAGGCATATGCTACCACGCCAGCTAATTTTTTGTATTTTTAGTAGAGATGGAGTTTCACCATGTTAGCTAGGATAGTCTCAATCTTCTGACCACCCGCCTCAGCCTCTCAAAGTGCTGGGATTGCAGGTGTGAGCCACTGCACCCGACCTTTTTTTTTTTTTTAAGATGCAGTCTCTCACTGTTGCCCAGGCTAGAGTGCAGTGGTGCAATATCAGCTCACTGCAACCTCTGCCTCCCGGGTTCAAGCAATTCTCCTGCCTCAGCCCCCAGAGTAGCAGGGATTACAGGTGCCTGCCACCACACCCAGCTAATTTTTTAGTAGAGACAGGGTTTCGCTATGTCAGCCAGGCTGGTCTTGAACTCTTGACCTGGTGATCCACCAGCCTTGGCCTCCCAAAGTGCTGGGATTACAGACATGAGCCACCATGCCCGGCCAGCTTCAGAATCTTTTCACATCCTCTCTTCCCTTGGAAGTTGAACCGTAGTTTTATAATGTTGCGACACTTGACGAATTAGCATGAATCTAAGCCAGGATTAGTGACTCCACAAGATAACCTTGAAAAATGTCAGCACTGATTTCCCTTTTGCAGATGAAAAAAATGAAACATAAAGAAACAGGTACATCAAATAATCAATGACATAGACAGAACTCAAATCCCAAATTCTCAATTTACAATCCTAATTGTGATTAGTGATGCTTTGGGCACATTTCTGACTGCTGCTGCTCTACCCTCTGTCAGCCTGGAGGTCTCCAAAGCTGGTCTGGCCATGGCAGGAGGAGAATACATTCAAAATATAAAATTCTGCCAGTCCTGTCAATGTGGTGCTCAGAACTACACACATCTTTCTTCAGTCATTCCAGGGAAAACAGAGCCTTTCAAAATAGGCATGCAAAATCCAAACAGCACAGCATTCTAGACCAATCTAGTCCCTACCATAGACAGTGGAACCACACTGGCTCCAGAGTTGAGACAGCATGATCTAGCAGGCCTTCCCATCTCTATTTCCTATGATTCTGCAAGATGTTCAAGGTCAGATGTTAAAATTTTGCTGAGTAAATGGCCTGGCAAAAACTTGCCGTGGCAGAAGGAGGAGAGTCCTACCTGCTCCACTCGGCAGAGTTTGTCTACAGTCCCTTGGTAATGCTTCATACAGTCCTCCGCAAGGTGCAGGTGGGTGGAGTACTAGGAAAAAGCACAACAGTTTGATCACTGATGCATGCAACAGATGAGCACCTACTACATATAACACAACATTGGGCACCAAGGAGTCTCTAGCCTCAAAAGGAGGTAAAACGTGTGTACAATTGGGTACACAAATATCACAAAGTAGAAAGTGTTACATGTCAAAAGGGAGGGACAAACCACATTCTAAAAGAGTGAAGAGAAACCACATTCTAAAAGAGTGAAATCTTTTATGAGGGTAGGTGGCACAATGTTTTTTTTTTCTGAGATGGGGTCTCGCTCTGTTGCCCAGGCTGGAGTACAATGGTGTAATCTCGGCTTACTGCGACCTTTGCCTCCCAGGTTCAAGTGTTTCTCCTGTCTCAGCTTCCCAAATAGCTGGGATTACAGGCGCACACCACCACGCTCAGCTAATTTTTGTATTTTTAGTAGAGATGGGGTTTCACCATGTTGACCAGGCTGGCCTTAAACTCCCAACCTCAGGCCTAGGTGATTCACCTGTCTTGGCCTCCCAAAGTGCTGGGATCACAGGCGTGAGTCACCACACCTGGCCAGTGAAGGTTTTATTAGTACAATGCATCCACAAATTCTTTGAAACTCCTCCTTTTAGGAGGCAGAGCTTCATTCCCTCCTTAACTGTAGGCTGGATTTAGTAGTTTGCTCCTAACAAACAATGTGGAGGAAGTGATGATGTATGGATCCAAGATCAGGATACAAAAGGTATTGTGACTTCCTCCTAGCATTCTCTCTCTCAGATGGCTCACTCTGGGGAAAGCCAGTGGCCGTGTTGGAAGGACACTCAAGCAGCCCTGTGGAGAGGCCCATGTGGTGGGGAACTGAGACTTCCTGCTAACAGCAGGGGAATAGGTAGGACAAAGAGAAAGATAAAGAGGAGAAAAGAAAGTGACAGGAAATAGGTGCCTATCCTAGCCTTTTGTATCTTTTCTAATAAAAATTGAAGATGCCTAAAAATCTATGAATTTCCATGAATCAATTATAGTAGTAGAGCTTTGAGAAATATTTTTGCAGCTGTTTGTACTCAATAATTCAAACAGATTATTTGCGGCTGCCATACCTTGCTGAGCTCTTTCTGGTACTGAGGCATCTTCTTCAGCATCTGGGACAGGTCCCGCATGGTGGTCTGTAAGGGAAAGAAAAGCACATGGTATCACTCTAATGGCCCTGATCTTAGGAGGCTCTGCAAGGCTGGTGGGCACAGGACAGGACAGCTGCCCACACTAGGCTTCCCAAATGCATGCTCTGTAACCCTCAAAAATGAATCTGTGAAACACAGATTGTGTGTGTTTAGATTTCCAGGGCTCTGGCTCAAATATTTTTTTGATCCAAATATGACTGTGGGATCATGTTACATTACAGGGTGGGAACTGAACTCTGAAGTCTAGCAGTCACATTTTATTCTATGCTTATTGGATTAGAAAGCTGTTGAGAGAATAATTCTTGCTGATGAAGAAAAATCCTTCTATCCACTGCTTTTATTCATCCTTAGCCCAAGCAGCCTTAGCATCAAGTTTGCACTTCCTCCTGGCAGAAAGACTGTGGCTATGTGGACAGGAGGAGCACAAGGAGGTCAGAGAGGGTGGGAATCTGTACCCGATGGGCAAGACGGGTCTGTGTGCTTTCTGTGTGAGCCATATAATCCCATCCATTTACCCAACAAAAATTTATTGAATTATTACTATACACCAGGCACTATTAGGTGCTGAAGATTCAAGGACAAAAGTAAAAAAAACAGAATCTCTGATTCACACAGAGCTTAGCATCCAGAAGAGAAGCAAGACAAAGCACTGCAGAGATCAGGCCCCTTCAAGGGGACTTACCAGGTAGTGTGGGTGCATGTGGCACAGGCATCTGCCTAGTCTAGGTAGAGGCCAGGAAGGGTTTCCATGAGGAAATGATGCCTGAGCCAAAGAATCTGGCCAGGCCCAAGGCAAGAGGACCCTGGCATGCCTGGAGCAAGAAGGCATGGCAAGAAGGACAGGGGTAGAGATGAGACCAGAGAGAGGCCTGTAGGGCTGAGGATCTGGGCTTTGGAAGAGGTGTGTGTGTGGGGCCAATGGGAGTTATTCTAAGGGGAACGAGAAGTCCCTAACTATTTTAAGCAAGGGAATAATACAATTAGAGTTACATTTTGGTCATTCTACTTCCCTTGACTAAGAAAGATACGCCACTTCTGACAAACAGGCAGGATATGGAGAGGCCCAGGTAAGGTAGGTTATAAATTCTAATTTCACCACAAGGTAAAAAAAAAAAGGTCTCACAGTTCGTTCTTCTGGCTTAAAATGAATCATGACCCAAAACAGTAAATATTAATCCTCAGAGTAATAAAAAGCAGCTCTCTGTAAACATCAAAATGTAGTGGCTCTGGATCTGTATTGTTTTTTTTTTTTTAAGACAGAGTCTCACTCTGTCATCCAGGCTGAAGTGTAATGGTGTGATCTTGGCACACTGCAACCTACATCTCCTGGGTTCAAGTGATTCTCCTGCTTCAGCCTCCCGAGCAGCTGGGATTATAGGTGCCCACCACCACGCCTGGCTAATTTTTTGTATTTTTAGTAGAGATGGGGTTTCACCATGTTGGCCAGGCTGGTCTCAAACTCCCGACCTCAGGTGATCCACCCACCTCGGCCTCCCAAAGTACTGGAATTACAGGCGTGCGACACCACACCCAGCCTGGATCTGTATCTTAAATCTAAAAATGGCCAGGCATGGTGGCTCAAACCTGTAATCCTAACACTTTAGGAGGCTGAGGTGGGCGGATGGCTTGAGGTCTGGAGTTTGAGACCAGCCTGGCCAACATGGTGAAACCCTGTCTCTACTAAAAATACAAAAAATTAGCCGGGCATGGTGATGGGTGCCTGTAATCCCAGCTATTTGGGAGGCTGAGGCAGGAGAATCACTTGAACCCAGGAGGCAGAGGTTGCAGTGAGCCAAGATCACACCACTGCACTCCAACCTGGGGGAAAAAAAAATAAAAATAAGGCAAAATGATGTAAACAAATAGAGGGATATGACCATGCTTACTCACTAGTCCTATTCGGAGGAGGAAGCTTTCCTGCTCTTAGAGAGAAAGCAGGGACTAATTTACTGAACATTTGAGCACTGGCATGGGTTTACCTTCTCTCCAGTATTCATTCTTTTGCTAGAAGAAAAATCTTTCAGAGACCGGGTGACTTCCCTGGAAAATAAAAGGAGGCAGCTAAGTTTCACAGCAGCACCATGGGCCTTGCTATGGATGCTATAGGAGTCATGCAATATTTTTCCTTTAGGAGTATGTGATGAGTTTTCCTGCCAGTAAGGTATGCATTTAAAGTTATTTCTGGCCAGGCATGGTGGCTCACGCCTGTAATCCCAGCACTTTGAGAGACCAAGGCAGGTGGATCACTTCAGACCAAGGCGGGTCGATCACCAAGGCGGGCGGTTGAGAGTTCAAGACCAGCCTCGTCAACATGGTGAAATCTCGTCTCTACTAAAAATACAAAAATTAGCTGGACATGGTGGCGCACTTCTGTAATCACAGCTACTTGCAAGACTGAGGCATGAGAATTGCTTAAACCTGGAAGGCAGAGGTGGCAGTGAGCTGAGATTGCACCACTGTTCTCCAACCTGGGCAACAGAGTGAGACTCGGTCTCAAAAAAAAAAAAAAGTTATTTTCCAAGAGAGAAGAGAGACACATAGCTTTTCTAATTAATATTAGAAACCAGTGGTCTCCAGAGTGCGGTGTACCAGATTATTCAAGGAAAAAAAAAAGAGAAGAAAATATTAGGATATCTACTTAGGTTTATTTTACCTCATTCTTTTCAAATTTATGTTGGAATATAAATAGTGAAACATAATTCAAGTTTGAAAAATATACAAACATATAAATATGTGGTAAATATACAAATAAGTCCAATAAAGCATATTTTAAATTCATAAATACATTTAATTTACTGAAATGTCAGTTAATATCTTTTTTTTTTTAAAGACAGTTTTGCTCTGTTGGCCAGGCTGGAGTGCAATGGCATGATCTTGGCTCACTGCAACCCCCGCCTCCTGGGTTCAAGTGATTCTCCTGCCTCAGCCTCCTGAGTAGCTGGGGCTATAGGCACACACCATCATGCTCAGCTAATTTTTGTATTTTTAATAGAGACGGGGTTTTACCATGTCGGCCAGGCTGGTCTCAAATTCCTGACCTCAGGTGATCCACCTACCTCAGCCTCCCAAAGTGTTGGGATTACAGGTGTGAGCCACCATGCCAGGCCATGGGTTAATATCTTTTTTTTTTGAGACGGAGTTTTGCTCGTTACCCAGGTTGGAGTGCAATGGCACAATCTCAGCTCACCACGACCTCCGCCTCCTGGGTTCAGGCAATTCTCCTGCCTTAGCCTCCTGAGTAGCTGGGAGTACAGGCACGTGCCACCATGCCCAGCTAAGTTTTTGTATTTTTAGTAGAGACGGGGTTTCACCATGTTGACCAGGATGGTCTCGATCTCTTGACCTCGTGATCCACCCGCCTCGGCCTCCCAAAGTGCTGGGATTACAGGCGTGAGCCATTGCGCTCGGCCCATGGGTTAATATCTTTATAAGTTGAGTGATCAAAAACATTTAGAGACCTCTTCTCTAAACAACAGAACTATCCAAGGCTGTATTATTTTCTCATTCCTCCTTGGGAATTTCCTGAGTAGATCACCAACTCAATGTAGCAGACTGTGTCTTTCTGAAAAAGCAGAATCATTATCTGCAGTTTAAAGGTCTTATAACAATGTTTAAATATTAGAAACATTCTGAAACATTTTCAGAGCTGGGTACAGTTTAGTAGGGAGACATCAGCTATTGCTCAGGACAGGTAAAAACAGGGAAGGTTGCATACCAGCTATAAAAAAGAAAGTTCAATTGTATACCGTGGTGTTTGGGTCTTTCAATTGAATGAACTAGCTTTAAATTTTTAATGTTTGTAAAGCATTTTTCTGAGAGAGCTACATATGTTTTCCAAGAATCTGAAAAGCAGCCCAATACAGAATTGATTTTCTACTTCATGAAGTTGGAGTGGCTCAAGCTCAGAGAACAGAAGGGATTTATCATTATGGGTTAGCACGCTGGTGACTCTGCCAAGGAAATGAATTCAAACAGTGATGTCCAGAGTGAGTGCAACAACAGCAACTGGGGAGAGGCGCCTTGCTGGAGAAGGGGGCAAGGGGCTCTTACTGGGACACCTCTGCGATGTGCTTGTGGCGCAGTGCTATCCACAGGTCGTCGTCCTCGTCCAGGAGCACCTCCTTCACCCGTGCCTCCCCAATGCCACTCGTCTCATACCTACAATGGAGACGGGACTCAGGTGGAACGCATTGTCTCCACAACATTCATCGAACCCCTTCAGTTTACAGCAGCAGCAGCTCACTGCCCTCAGCTGCCAGATAGATGTTCACAAGTGCCGTCACAGCAAGTCCGGACCATTGAACATGTCAGCCAGGCCTGCTGTGGCAGCACTGACCCAGGCTGCAATTCCTAGGGTAGGAGAGACTCAAAGTCAACCAACTTCAAATTCTGTCTTAAAATCTTCTGGGTCAGCTGATACAAGCTCCACATGAGCCACCTGGTCCAGGGCATGAAGTCAGGTCATATGTGAGTTTAGTTATTTATAGGGGAAAGGCAAAGATCATATCTGTCCCTTTGGAAAGGTACTGGGATGTCATCCTCAATATGTGTGGTACCTAAATAGCTTCCAGCAGCTGCCTGCAATGGGCCCTCGGCACTCTATCACATGGGAAATCAGGAACAGCTGGAGGAAGCACAAATTATAGCTACCAAAAGGGAGAACTAAGACTCATATTCTTAGAATCTTCATTTTGAAACCACTGTCTTTATGATTGATGCTATTAAAATAAATGCCATGAGAACAATGTCTGTTCTTATACAGTCTGGTTCTCATACAGTCTAGTTCCATAAAAAGAAAAACTGGTTTTTAGAAAGTAAATTTCTGATGATTGTTACCAAGAAAAATGTTTTTTATAAATGAAGAAAACAGCTCCTCTGTAAGGAAAGTTCAGTATGAAACTTCTGTTGATGTATTTCATCATCATCATATTTCATGACCTATAAACAAGAAGTTTCAACTCTGCCTCCAGAGAGGCAGAACCAATAAAAGAGCAAAAAAATTTCAACTCTGAATGAGATTAACACATAAACACAAAAATCAACATATTGACATATCCACATAGGTTATGAGCTGAGGTGATAAAAGCTGGGAACCAAAGACCTAAAGTGCTTGTCCTCCCCAAAAAGAGGACAAATCATGAGTTCATGCCTAGAAGTGCCAAGTGGATTTGGGGAACTTGCAGAAGAACTTATGGGCTAATTTGCAAGGCGGTATCAATGAACCACTTTTCCCAGGGTTAAAAACTCTTTTTCGGCTGGGCATAGGGGCTCACGCCTGTGATCCCAGCACTTTGGGAGCCAAGGTGGGCAGATCACGAGGTCAGGAGTTTGAGACCAGCCTGGCCAGCATGGTGAAACCCCATCTCTACCAAAAAATACAAAATATTAGCTGGGCATGGTGGTGCATGCCTCTAATCCCAGCTACTTGAGGCTGAGGCAGGAGAACTGCTTGAACCCAGGAGGCAGAAGTAGCAGTGAGCCAAGATTGCACCACTGCACTCCAGCCTGGGCAACAGAGTGAGACTCTGTCTCAAAAAAAAAAAAAAAAAAAAACTACTCTTTTTCTAGACATATTTTTGGTTCATGTGCAGAGCCACATGCACTCCAGGGTCTGTAACACTATACTTACTTGTATACATCATTTTCGATAGGCAGCAGATCATAACTCATAGCCTGGAAAGTCAATTCATGGAGCACTGGGGAGCTGGGGTCAAAGCCTCGATCCAGGATCAGGAGCTGGGAACGTGCCTTGTCTGGTCCCTGGGGGAAAACAGAGAGATGCTTCACAAGCCACCCAGCCAACCCCAGCTTCTCCACCTAGCAAACCCCTCTTATAAAGGAGGGCAGCAGAAAGTGAACTCTGAGGTGCAAACCTACTAATGCAGCACAGAAGTCTACCACTGGACAAGATCACTAAAAATACCCTGCAAGACTCCAGTATTTCCATTTCATAACAAGAACACTTACAGATATGAAATGCTAGGAGCCTAAGTGAGTTTCTATAGGAGAGTGCTGCCCAAGTTCAACTACAAATGGGGCAACCACCGTCCAGTGTGCGTGGGACTGAGTGGGTTCCCAGGACATGGGACTTTCAGTTTTAAAATCAAAGTGGTGATGGAACAGCTCTGTATCTTGATTGTAAGATGGTTACAGGAATATAACCATATGATAAAACTGCAAAGGACTGTACACATAGAGCACATGTAAAAACCAGTGAATGCTGAATGAGCTCTGAAGAGCACATCAGTGTCGATTTTCTGGTTTGCTATTGTGCTTCTGGGGGTTTCCCAGGCCATTTGGAGCTGCAGCTGGGAAAGCCCTGGCAAACAGTACAAGTTGGTCACCCTGGCCACACTGAATACATGTAGATCGCCCTGCCCCAGGGGCTTCAGGCATTTCATTGGAGGCCAGTCCCCAGGAAAAGCAGCACTGACATATGCTCTGTGGCAAGAGAACCAAGCTGTCTCTGGGATTATCACACAAACACTGTGGTCCTTGGTAAGATAACTGCGTGTCTGAGCCAGACTTACCTCCCCCATTGTTGGGTCATCAGCTTTATAGGCGTCGAGCTTGTCCTGGATTAGCTGAGCCAGCAGAGCATTATCCTTATATTCCCTGACAAAAGAGAAGTGACAGAGCATGAACCACCCAGCACCCATGATCGTGCTGGCTGCCCCGGGAAAGGAAGCCAAGAAGTGCAGGGAGGTTTAGGGAAGATATGACCATTGTCTGTATTTGTGTTTTTACAATGAGAGTATATTTAGAAAGGAAAAGCAAAATAAACACTTAGCGCCTGGACCATAAATAAGTGATTGTGATTTTCTTACTGCTTTTTTCCAAAAGGATCTAAGTGGAAATGGATGTTATCTTTCCAAGCAGCTTCAGATAAACCACCGCACTTCTGTTGGGGGCCCTGACCAGTCAGTCAACCTTTTTTGCCAGGATCAGGCCCTCAATCTGACTCCCATGATTCTCACTTCCCTCAGTTCACATTCCCTTGAGTCTTGTTTTGTTTTGTTTGTTGGAGAGTGACATTTCAGCTGGCATGGCCAGAACAATGTGAGAACCTTTGAACCTTTCCCAATGGCTGGGTCTGATGGCACTCCCTGTGTAGGGGGGAGACCCCATAAGTGCTGAGGCAGGAGTCAAAAGCCTCAGCCTGTTTCCATATGGATAATAAAGAGGAAAGTAATTAGAAATAACCATAGTAGTTATTAGTTATTCATAGGTGATTTAATTCTTTTACTAATGTCTCTCAGGTCAGAAGTATGAACCTGGGGCGACTTTGTAAAATGAATGACTCTAAGGCAAGATGCTTTAAGCCCTCTGTCACGCCCCCATAAGGGCTGCTGGAAGGCCTTTTGTTCCTCCTGCAGTGGCCTCCTGTTAGTCACCCTGTCTGGTTTTTCCTTGCCCTGACTCCTGCTCATACTCCAGCCTTCACTCTCCCAGAGCACTGTGGTCATGCCCCTGTCCAAATCCCCCACAGGTTTCCAGTGATAACCACCAAAGGATATAATACCAAACCTGGCATCCAAGACCTCCAGAACTGGCTTCGTCCCACCCCACTCACTGCCCAACACATACTGTGCTGGACTACCCATCTTCCCCAAACGTGCCCCACATTTTCCCAACTCCAAGTTTTTGCTTATACCAAATGCAAAAGTCAACTGTCCACAGAAAATGCCAGCCCCTCTCTCCTCATCAGCCTAACATTACCTGTGGTTTGTAGATGGGCTTCACCCTGGGCTCAAAGGGCCTTCTCCCTACTGGGAATGACCCGAGCACTTGGTCTGTCCTGTCTCACAGGGTGGAACCTGCAGGTGAGCATCTCTCATGCACACACACATGTTGGAAGGCACGGACCACCCAACCTCCCTGATCACGAGCCAGGTCTTCAGCTTCAGGTGCCCCCAGCACTCAGCACAGAGCAAGCAAGTAAGGAATGCGTGGCTTTATAAAATCTAAGGAACATGTCCTTTGGAAAATTATTCTCTTGTATTTTATCTTACTCTGAAACATCTTTTATAAAGACAGTAATTGTTTTTAAAGAATAGAAAAATATTAAAAACTGTAGGCAACCCGAGGTACATGGGGGTTCACATTTTAGTTGTTCAATAGTTGATTTGATTATATATCTTTTACGCTTTTTTTCTGCATGTATTATTATATTTCACTACTACATTTAGAAGATAAAACCAATGGAAGAATAATTTTACGTGAGAAAAGCTCAAATCCTGATCTTCTTGAGACAATTGTCAGAGGAACCGTAGGGCCAGAGGAGGAGTCTGAGCCAGCTCCTCACTTGGGGGACACATGGGATGCCACTCCAGCAGACTGGTGTACTGCCTTACCCCCGATACCGCACAGCTGGGTACTCCTTCAGGGTGGCACACAGGGTTGCAATCTGCTCTGCCAGGCGCTCCAGTATAGGATTCTTCATCTGAGCCTTGTGGGGACTGTAGAAGCTTTGGAAAGAGTCAGCAGAGTCCAAGGAATAGACCTGGGGAGGAGAAAAAGTGTTAATATATATTGTGAACTATCAGAGTATTCTCCAACTCTGGCAATGTAGAAGAAACAGGGTTTCTTTTACAAATATGTGCTGGGTGCCTACCATGTGCCAATGTGATAAACACTTGGGAACTACTAGTGACCAAAACATCCCTGTCTGCAAGGAGTTTGCAATCTAGTAGGAAAAATCAGACAATAAACATAATGAAAAGCAAATTGTGTGGTATTGAGAAACTGATAAGTATATGAGAAAATATCAGAGCAGGGGAGAATGTCCAGGAGTGCTGGACAGGGAGGACACCAGAACTTGCTAAGAAGGTGACATCTGAGCAAGGGCTTGAAGGTGACATCTGAGCAAGGGCTTGAAGGTGGGATGTTTATCACCAGCAGGGGACTTCCACATGGAGGGAACAGGTAGTGCCAAGGACCTCAGGTGGGCGTGTGCCTAGGGTTCCTGGAGAACAGTGATGAGGCCAGGAGGAGAGCAGAAGAAGGGGTTAGTATGAGACTACACTGGCCATTGTAAGCTTTGTTTCAATAAATAAGAGACAAGCCAGATACTGTGCTGTGACTGTGGGCAAATAAAGGAGGTATTTATGGATTTAATAATACCTTATCCTCAGTAGCATATTGTAAGTATTTGTCTTTTCTTTTTACTTTTTTTTTGGAGTGTTCTAGAAGTTGAGATTCTCTCTTATTATTTTAAATTCTCATTTATATAAACTACCATAATCTTAAAAAATGGTATTTAAGGCCGGGCACAGTGGCTCATGCCTGTAATCGCAGCACTTAGGGAGGCCGAGGCTGGTGAGGAGTTTGAGACCAGCCTGGCCAACACAGTGAAACTCGTCTCTACTAAAAACACAAAAAAATTAGCCAGGCATGGTGGCACACACCTGTAATCCCAGCTACTGGGGAGGCTGAGGCAGAATTGCCTGAACCCAGGAGGGGGAGATTGCAGTGAGCCAAGATCGCACCACTGCATTCCAGCCTGGGTGACAGAGCGAGATTCCACCTCAGAAAACAGAAAAAGGTATTTAAAACAGAGTTTATTACTTTCTTAAAATTTCTGAAATATAATATTGTTGAATATGCTAAAGCTGGATTTTGTTCTATCCAGGTAGGGACGGAACACACAGAAGAAAAAAAAAATTCCTTCCCCCAAGCAGGAGACAGGCTTTAGGCCAAGTGAGAAGGAAGCCTGTTTTAAGATGCTAACACTATAACTTTTCCATCTCTCCTTCTCTAAGAATAGGTCACTGGTGTCTTGAAGCTGATCTGTAAAGATCCAATATGCCACAATCATCTTATAGCTCCATAAAATGCATCAAAGTCCTGTTGTTTTTGTTTCCTTGTTTGCTAAGAGAAGACATTTTAACAGCTCTTAAAATACCAAGACAAATTGTGTCTGTTCTCTCACAATCAGCTTCACCTTTATTCATTTAATAACTTTGATTTCCAAGGGAGCGCTTTGTGGCCCTGGCATTTGGCACTCGAAGTGTTAACGACTAATGACGAAGACTGCCATCTGCTCTTGCAGCACATGACAAGCTGAGGTTATCTCCACGTAAAAACAGTCTCCCTCGCAGCAGATGGGATGCTTCTGCTCCCCACCCTCGCTCTCCTTCCAAGCTCGTTTCTGATTGGCTACTCTGTGGTTATTCAAGGAGTCAGCCGACAGGCGTAAGCACTGAGAGCAAGGATGAAATGCACACAAAGAAAGGCACAATGGCTGATGCAAAGTCAGAAACAACTGGAGAGTACCACGAGGGCAGGGGGCAGGCCGTATGGAATACTATTTCCATTCAGTAAACATCCAATTATAACCTGTCGTTTGGTAATTTAGAGGATAGTACCTTCCCTCCCCCACTCTTTGGTAGGTCCCGCCCCACCCTCTCAGAATAATGGTAGGTCCCGTTCCACCCTCTCAGAATAAGGGAAGATGCAGATTTCCTATGCACCCCTGCTCAGGCTCACCTGGGATTCATATGGGAGAAATGCAATATTGATTTCCGTCAGAGTTTTGATGACTTTGGCTGCTCGAGATTTTACCAGTTCATTAAACAGGGCATCTGGACAAGCTGCAAGCATGACAAAAGACAGATGGCTTTCCTGTCCATTTGCTGGTTCATTTAACAGCTGCACATGTACAGTGGGTTCTTCTTCGTTTTATTAGAATTTTTTTTTCTTTGAAATGGAATCTCGCTCTGTTGCCCAGGCTGGAGTGCAATGGGGAGATCTCGGCTCACTGTAACCTCCGCCTCCTGGGTTCAAGGAATTCTCCTGCCTCAGCCTCCCCTGCCATCAAGACCCAGCTAATTTTGTATTTTTGCAGAGACAGGGTTTACCATGTTGGCCAGGCTGGTCTTAAACTCCTGACCTCAGGTGATCCACCGCCTCAGCCTCCCCAAGTGCTGGGATTACAGGCGTGAGACACTGTGTCCGGCCCATTTTATTAGGATTTTTAAAAGACAACTAGGAAATTCACTCCATCCTAAAATATACAGTACTTCTAGGGCAAGCTTTTCTAACCCACAACCCAGGACAGCTTTGAATGCAGCCCAACACAGATTCATAAACCTTCTTAAAACATTATGAGATTTTAAGGCTGGGTGCAGTGGCTCATGCCTGTAATCCCAGCACTCTGGGAGGCCAAAATGGGCAGATCATGAGGTCAGGAGATTGAGACCATCCTGGCCAACATGGTGAAATCTTGTCTCTAAATAAATAAATAATTTTTTAAATTATGAGTTTTTTTTTTGTGATTTTTTTTTCCCCAGCTCATCAGCTATCATTAGTGATGATGTGTGGGTCAAGACAATTCTTCCAATGAGTCCCAGGGAAGCCAAAATATTGGACACCTCTGCTCTAGTGTATAAAAGGAATGTAAAACCACCTGCATAGCCTTCAATAGATAATAGAAAAACAAATGGCAATAACAATTGAGATACTGAAAGCTAATCAAAACTATCTTCTAATACCAAGAAAAGGAAGGAAAAAACAGGGCTGGGTAGAGTGGCTCATGCCTGTAATCCCAACACTTTCGGAAGCTGAGGCGGAAAGATTGCTTGAGGCCAAGAGTTCGAGGTAGGAATAAAAAACAGAAGAGATTAAGAAGGGGCAATGACAAGGCCTTTAGTATAAATAAATACCACACATCTAATATGTTAAGGATTAATGAAATAAGAAAAAATGAAATCACTAGAAATGTGATGCAGGCATTTCCCCCAGAACTTCAAGCTCAGCAGCACAGAAGGCCCCCTTGATGGGGAAACCATGATTTCTAGGAAATCTCTTGGACCAAACAAATGGCCTCAGGGTTCCCAGAAATATGTTACCGGATTCTTATTATTAATGCTGTCTGCTCATTGTCATGCATATTCAAACACTGTAAAATTATTCTTCTGCTACATCCTTTCCACTTTCTCAGTAGTGAGTGCTGTGGGAGTTTATTCCTAGAGAGACGAACTCTGGGTGAATTCTTACTGTTTTATACTCTTTAGCTATCCAGGTCAATTCCTCTCTCACTGCTTTTCTGCTACGATCTCATCATAAAATCCCCACAATATAAGAAAACTAATTCCAGGGTAATGACGCAGGTTCTTTCTAATACAAAGACTACAGGATTGGAACATCTTTGTAGCAGAAAAATTGATGGAAACATACTACAGAGTATAGTGATAACTGTAAGTGTACATAATGAAATGCCAAGCATCAGGAAGGTTTTCTCAGTCTCAAGAAGAGGTGTTTGTGTGCTATTTTTCAGCAGGAAGGACTGCATGATCTAGTGGGTTTTTATTTGTGTGTACTTAGTTTTATCTCTTATGTAATCTATCTTCTGAGGAGAAACTAGCAGATGGAGACAAGCATGGTAACAACCCATTCCTTCCCTATTGACCTGCCTTAGTTTTGGCTCAGCCCACCTGTTCAGAAATGCTAACCTGCTCGATGGGGGCTGGGGACAGCTCTCAGTTGTACTCACAGTCAGTGAAGAAGACATGTGCAGCCCGGTATTTAGCAGTCGGCGGGTCCTTAAAGTCACTGATGAGAGAGTGGACAGACTGTGGACAGGGGGAACAAAGAGGGACCTGAATCCAATTCTAGAGCCAAATGGGACCTGTATCTAAACTGAGTTAAATTCAATGGCTTCAAGCCACTTGCGCAAAATAGCATGGGATTTGTGATGCATAATTGTAATTGTAACACTCATGTTTGGCCACAACCAAGTCCTGAGGACTTGAAATTAGGATTATTTCAGAGTTTAGATGAATAAAGGCCTTCTTAGCTCATTCCAGAATGACAGTATCAGTTCTTTGGAGCCACCATAATTAGTTGCTAGGAAGACATCCACAAAAAAGGAAACTGGGCAGAAACCCTCCAGGAGATTCATACTGATGACCCTTTGGCAATGTAGCTGCATCTTTAGAAACTCATATGTAAGCCAGTTTTCAAAGTGAAAAGAAAATGTGAAAACTGGAGGAAATTTATATAGACTGAGACATCTAAGGCTGGTGTGGTAGCTCATGCCTGTAATCCCAACACTTTGGGAGGCCAAGGTGGGTGGATCACTTGAGCTCAGGAGTTTAATACTAGTCTGGGCAACAAAGCAAAACCCCAGTCTCTACCAAAAATTAGCTGGGCATGGTGGCATATGCCTGTAGTCTCAGCTATTTGGGAGGCTGAGGTGGGAGGATCACTTAAGCCTCAGAGGTCGGGGCTGTAGTGAACTGTGATCACACCCCTGCACTCTAGCCTGGGTGATGGAGTGAGACCTATCTCAAAAATATGTCCCCCGCCCTCAACAACAACAACAACAAATCCATCTAAGACAAATATCACCCAGAAGCAAGGAGGTGGGTGGACCTTGTTTGGATGGTGACTTGTAACCTCTAAAATTATAAGACAGGTAAGTCTGAACAGTAAAATGAAAGCATAAAATACCAAAGTCTGGAGGTGGACTGCTAATTAGACAGAGTGGATCCTACCTGAAGAGGGAGCACAAGGGAGAAAACTAGAATGACCCAGGGCCACAGAACACATGTTCTGGTTTTTGCATAGCTACTGTGTTTAAGAACACTTAATACATTCTTCACTTCTTGATGCATAACCACCACCCCCTGCCCCGCCCCATTGTGGACTGCAGGCTTGAACAGAGCAGTATGTTCAATGCATGCTTAACCTAGAAATGTCAGTGTGCCACATACATCCCAAGCCAGTCCATCTAACCTTAGCCAGAGTTCTCTGGTGGAAGGTTTACCTTCTCGGATGGAGTGATGAGATACACAGCCTCCAGGCTGGGGAGCGGCTCTCTGCGCTTGTTGATATCTTCCACAACTAGACAACAAAACAAATCATAGTGTGTAGGAAGACATGATGGGTGACCATAAAACTAGAAGCAATATAGACAGGCCACCTTCAGACTGTTGCAGATAAATATCTACAGTGGGGAGGAAACAATCATTCACCCATTCCTTACGGTTACCACATTCCATGAGAGTGAATTCCATGGTCTCAACATGCCCAAGATGTTAGAAAATCTGAAATCTGGGCCGGGCACAATGACTCACACCTCTAATCCCAGCACTTTGGGAGGCTGAGGTGGGCAGATCACTTGAGGTCAGGAGTTCAAGACCAGCCTGGCCAACATGGTGAAACGCCATCTCTACTAAAAAAGTACAAAAATTAGTCAGGAGTGGTGGAATGTCCCTGTAATTCCAGTTGCTTGGGAGGGTGAGGTGGGAGAATCACTTGAACCTGGGAGGCAGAGGTTGCAGTGATCCAATATTGTACCACTGCACTCCAGCCTGGGTGATAGAGGGAGACTCCATCTCAAAAAAAAAAAAGGAAAATCTGAAATCTTATCACAATAGGTATTTCTCACTTCCCATTTCAGTTTAAGTAAATTCCTTGATCTGTTCTGAGAGAAAATGAAACATGCTATCTGATTCTGTCAAGAACGGGTCCTTTGCCTCTTCCTTCAGCTTTGTCTCATCTGCCCTAGATAATTCTAATTCCTTTAGAATATCCATGTTGGGTTTATTTGTCAACAGCTGGATAGTTTCATTGCTTTCTTCTGCTATCAAATGAAGACGTTCCAACCACACCCTCTCTATAATACTGTAAAGTTTTTACACTGTCTTCAATAGTGTAAAGATTAAACATTCTATTTTATTAAAGTAAACCATGGGCTTTGGTTTGCCTGTTTCCTCTACAGTTATGTCAAAGACTTCACCTGGAAAGAACAGCTTTTGGGAGAATCTTACCAGTCACCTGGTAATGCTTAAAATGTGTTATTTACTTCCTCTAGTATGGAGGGAGCAAGGCAATTATACAGGTGCCATTCTTCCTATGCAGATGATTTAAGTAGATAAAAGCATCACTTTAGAGGAATCCCTTGTAACATTTATAAAGACTTTTCACCCCAAATAATGTTCAAATTAATACCAAAATCCCCAAACATCTACTTTATCAATGGTTACAGATTTTGTAATTTCATAGGCTACTAATACTTCCCCCCAAAATGTTTCAGGGCTTCAACAAAGGGTTGCTAACTTAAATTTTGCTAAGTAAGAAGTTTTTTTTTTTTTTTTTGAGACAGAGTCTTGCTCTGTCATCCGGCTGGAGTGCAGTGGCATGATCTAGGCTCACTGTAACCTCCACCTCCCAGGTTCAAGCAATTCTCAGCTTCCCAAGTAGCTGGAACTACAGACACACGCGAGTGTGCCCAGCTAATCTTTGTATTTTTAGTAGAGACAGGGTTTCACTTTGCTGGCCAGGCTGGTCTGGAACTCCTGACCTCAGGTGATCTACCTGCCTTAGCCTCCTGAAGTGCTGGGATTACAGGCATGAGCCACCACACCCAGCCATAAGGTCATTTTTTAAAAAAACCACCTTTCAGTGTATGAAAGAGTCTGTGGAGATATCTGAATCCCCATCTCCCACAGGAACTCATTTAATAATATCTAATAACACTGAATCAAGATATAATACAACAAGCATTTATAAAGAAAAATAAAAAAGATGACCAGAATGAAGGGCAAGGTGGCTGCCTCTGGGGTAATGGACCTCAGGGATGGGGAGATGAGAGGAGGACAGGACATCACTGCTCTATTATTAGATCCTTGTTAGCTCCATTTGGCATTTTTCCCCTTTACTTTTGTGTTTTTTTGTTTTTGTTTTTGCTTTGATAGAAAAAAAAAATAGTTTCAAAAAGTCAATGAAGGAAATAACATTGTAAACTCAAAATAGGGGTAAGCCTAGTCTTAAAACTGACTTGGGGCCAGGCACGGTAGCTCATGCCTATAATCCCAGCACTTTGGGAGGCCACAGCAAGGGTAACTTGAGGCCAGGAGTTCGAAACTAGCTTGACCAACATGGTGAAACCCATCTCTACTAAAAACACACACACACACACAAAAATTAGTTGGGTGTGCTGGTGCCCACCTGTAATCCCAGATACTCGAGAGGCTGAGGCACAAGAATTGCCTGAAACTGGGAGGTGGAGGTTGCAGTGAGCCAAGATTGCACCACTATACTCCATCCTGGGTATCCTGTTTGTTTGTCTCAAAAACAAACAAAAATCACACTTGGATCACCAAATTACATAAAAGTCACACCAAAAATTCTGCATGCAGGCCGGGCACAGTGGTTCACACCTGTAATCCCAGTACTTCGGGAGGCCAAGGTGGATCACTTGAGGTCAAGAGTTCAAGACCAGCCTGGCCAACATGGTGAAACCCCTTCTCTACTAAAAATACAATAATTAGCCGGGTGTGGTGACAGACACCTGCAATCCCAGCTATTCAGGAGGCTGAGGCAAGAGAATTGAACCCAGGAGGCAGAGATTGCAGTGAGCCAAGATTGCCCCAATCTTTGAAACTCTGTCTCAAAAACAAACAAACAAAAAACACACTGACTTGGATAAATAACATAAAAGTCTCATCAAAAATTCTGTATGCAGGACCCACAGCCACCATGAACAGCAAAGGTCAATATCCAACACAGCCAACCTAGCCTGTGCAGCCTCCTGGGAATCCAGTAGACCCTCAGACCTCAGGCTCCACATTATACTGATGCTCCACCTACCTACCCAGAGCTCTACCGTCCAAGGTTTGTGCACCCAGGGGCTGCCACCGTCCCCACCAAGTCAGTCACATTTCCTGGAACCTCTCTGTATCTTCCCATGGCCCAGTTTGTGGCTGTTGGGTCTTTAGGTTCCACAATCCCCATGGCTTATTATTCAGTCAGTCCCATCTATCCGCCTGGCTCTACAGTGCTGGTGGAAGGAAGGTACAATGCAGGTGCCAAATTTGGAGCTGGGGCTACTGCTGGCAACATTCCTCCTCCACCTCCTGGATGCCCTCCCAATGCTGCTCAGCTTGCAGTCATGCAGGGAGCCAATGTCCTCGTAACTCAGCAGAAAGGGAACGTCTTCATGGGTGGTTCAGATGGTGGCTACACCATCTGGTGAGGAACCAAAGCCACCTTTGTGTCAGGAAAGACATCATATACCTTCAGCACTTCTCACAATGTAACTGAAGCTGCAGTTTAGATACATGTTGTTGGGGTGTCTTTCTGGTGCCCAAACTTTCAGACATTTTTCAAATTTAATAAGAAACCATGTAATGGTAGCAGTACCTCCCCCTAAAGCATTTTGAGTTAGGGAAGGTATCCATTCATAAAATGAATGTGGGTGAAGCTGCCCCAAGGATCTTCCTTTAATTTCTCTGGAGTAATACTGTACCATACTGGTCTTTGCTTTTAGTAATAAAACATCAAATTAGGTTTGGAGGGAACTTTGATATTCCTAAGAATTAAAGTTGCCAAATTATTCTGATTGGTCTTTTATCTCCTTTAAGTCTTTGATTTATATTACTTGTAATTAAATGGAATGCATTAAAAAAATTGTGTATGCAAGCCAGGTGTGGTGACTCACATCTATAACTCCAGCACTTTGGGAGTCTGAGGCGGGTAGATCACCTGAGGTCAGGAGTTTGAGATAAGCCTGGCCAACATGGTGAAATCCTGTTTCTATTAAAAATACAAAAATTAGTTGGGTGTGGTGGCAGGCGCCTGTAATCCCAGCTACTTGGGAGGCTGAGGCAGGAGAATCACTCGAACCCAGGAGGCAGAGGCTGCAGTGAGCTGAGATCACGGCACTGCACTACAACCCGGGAGACAGCAAGACTCCGTCTCAAAAAAAAAGTGTGTATGCCATTTATAGGACTATACTTCTGCTGATAGATACACTGGATCTGTTTTTTAAAAATAAAGGAATCACATCCACATGTAACCAAAATGAAAACAGACACATACCTTATATCCTTTATAAATGCTAACTCAAAATGGATCACAGACCTAAATGTAAAATGCAAAATTATGAAACTCTAGAGGATTACGTAAAAGAAAAGCTAGGTGGCCAATGACTTTTTAGATATGACACCAAAGCCACAATCCATGAAAAAAAGAATTGATAAGCTGGACTTCATTAAAATTAAAAATTACTGCTCTGTGAAAGATGTTGTCAAGAGAATGAAAAGACAAGCCACAGACTGAGGACAAATATTTCCAAAAGACATATCTGATAAAGGACTATTATCCAAAATATATAAAGCTCCCTTAAAACTCAACAATAAGAAAACAAATAAAACAGTTAAAAAATGGGCCAAAGACCTTACAGACTTGAGGTCAAGTTTATCTGGTTTAAAAAAAAAAAAAAGACCTTACAGACACTGCACCAAAAAACAATATACAGATGGCAAATAGGCGTGTAAAAAGATGCTCCACATCCTAGGTCATCAGGAAAATGCAAATTCAAACGACAACACAGTACCACTACACAGCTATTAGAATGGTCAAAATCCAGAACACTGACAACTCCACATGCTGGTAAGGATGTGGAGCAACAGGAACTCTCATTCACTACTGCTGGGAATGCAAAATGGTCAGCCACTTTGAAAATGGTTTGGCAGTGTCTTACAAAACTAAACACACTTATCGTATGATCCAGCAATTGTGCTCCTTGGTATTTACCAAAAGTTACAGCACACATTCCAAAGAGTGAATAAAACATAAACATACAAACAACTGTAAGGCAAATGTGTAAATAGTTAAGAAACAAAACCCTATCAGCACCACAAAAGTGCCCTGGCTCACACTCCCCTCTGTCAGCACCATTTGCTCTTCCCTGCAAACAGAATCATTATCATTCCTTGAATGGTGAGTACTTCTGTTTAGGTTTTATTCCCTACATCTGCATTTTAAAACACAGCTGAGCTCTGCGGTTTGAACTCTATGGAATGAAAACTCACTCTCAGTGGTCTTTCCTTACCGTTGTTTGTCAGGTGCATTCACGTTACTGTGAGCGCTCAGGGTTCGCTCATTTTCATCCCTGTAGAGTATTCTGCTGTGTAACGGCACCGCAACCGGTTTAACTATTCTACACTTGATGGGCGTTTGGGTTGTTTTCCACTTGGGGCACCTATGAGCAACACTGCACACATATTCCTGCACATGTATCCTGGGCACACATACCTGAGTTGTCTAGGACACACATCTGACCACAGACTTGCTGGCTCATAGGACAGGCGGAACTTCAACTTTACTAGACACTGCCAAGTGCATTTCAAAGGGGCTACACCAACAGACATTCTAGCACATAGGAGTTTCCATTTTTTCTACCTCCTCACCATCACTTGGCATTATCAGAGATTAAACAGTGTAATCTTTTGAGTCTATATTGGCATCTCCCTCTATTCTGAATTGCATTTCCCTGACCACTAATGACAGTGGGCAATTTTCATAGATTTATTTGCCATTTGGATTTCTTCCTTTAAGTGCCTGCTCAGAACTTTTTCTATTGGCTAAGCTGCCTTTTCTTTCTTGATTTAACCATTCTTTCAGCATTCCTTTAACAAACACTTAATGAGCATCTAGCCCTGGATTTGGTGGAGCAATTCAGTGATGAACAAGATAGTCTTGGGCCTCTCAGGAGCTTCTGGTCTTAGCATACAAGTTGCTGGAAGAATCTAAAATCAAAGGAGATAATAATGAATAGGAAAGAGCACTGCTCAATCGCAGAGAGCATGCTCACTTGTTATGCCCTCGGTCATGATGTCTGTCATCTTGCAGCAGGAGGACAGCATCCTCATGCTTAACTGATCCACCACCAGCACCTGCAAGGACAGAGAACAGCATATGAGTTGCACGGCATCTGCTGTGATTCTCACATCAGCTTACCGTGTCAGACTCTAAAAGGAGCTCCAGAAGTGCAGAAGACTGAAGAAACCATATTTCCTATGGACCAGAAGCCCACTGGGATACATGCTTGCTTGTACCTTCCACACTCTAACCTAACCTTCTAGGAGTTTCCTCTCACTGATTTAATTTTATAAACCTAAAAAAAATTGTTTTTATCTCCCATGATAAAGTACCCATTAAAAAAATGAAAAAGCCAGGCGTGGTGGCTCAGGTCTGTAATCCCAGCACTTTGGGAGGCAAAGGAAGGCAGATCACTTGAGGTCAGGGGTTCGAGACCAGCTTGGCTAACAGTGAAACACTGTCTCTACTACAAATACAAAAATTAGCTGGGCGTGGTGGTGGGCACCTGTAATCCCAGCTACTTGGGAGGCTGAGACAGGAGAATCGTTTGAACCTGAGAAGCAGAGGTTGTAGTGAGTCAAAATCACGTCACTGCACTCCAGCCTGGATGACAGCAAGACTCCATCAAATAAATAAGTAAATAAATAAATAAATAAATGAAAAAATTATCTATAGCTCCAACATTCAGAGATAATCATATTAGTGAGTACTTTTTTCAGGGCATAAACTTGTGTTTAAGGGGAGAGTGAACACTATTGCCTGTACATGTGGTTTGGCATGTGAGGACTTGATGAAAGGCATCATCAGAACTGTGCCACTAACACATATGTCAGCTGGGACCATAGTATACCTCAGTCTAAGCTGGAAGAACAGGAACATTCCAGTCCTGGCCTAAAAGCTTCAGACCTGCAACTCTTCAGCTAACCTTTCTTATCTTCATTTAGCCCACGGTGGAGAGGAAGCTGGCAGTTAAAACAAAGCTATTTCTCCTCTCTTTTTTTTTTTTCTTTTTTTCTCTCCTCTCTTTTTGTAATACTATAAACTGAGAAGGGGGGCAACAGGAGGAAGACACATCAGGGGAGACAGTGTGGATGAGAAAGCTTTCCGCTGCAGTACAAGGGCCAATTAGTTTTTATTATATAACGTAGCTTCCTCACGATTAGTTTAAAATTCACATGTCTACAAGCCCATTGCTGATGTGAAGGGTAAGAGAGAAAGGTATGCATAAAGAGTTCCCACCAAACAACCTCCCCTTCTGAGTGGTAAGGACAGATGTGCTGGTTAAAACAAAGGCCACGGATGAGACTTCAAAATCCTCCTGTACTAATCAACTCTGTTGTTCCAAGGCCCAATGCACTTGAAAATGCATGGGCTTTTAACTACAGGAAAATTTGAGGGCAAGAAAGGTTAGTATAAATCCTTCAACAACATGCAGAACAATTCAAGTAAAACTGCACACCCTTTTGGCCAGTATAATTCTCAGCCTCAGACAACCAAGTAGTCCTTAAAATGCTGACTTCATGCATAGGGGGCAGCAGGTGCCACTCCTGTATGACACATTCCAGTCCCAGGCCATTTTCATTTTGATTGGCTTAAATGTTTGTTTCAAGTACACTACAGTTTCCAGCACTGCTCTCAATCTTATATGAATAAACCAGCTTACTATTTTTGTCTTATGTAGTTACAGATCAGTGAGGATATACCAGATGAGGGCTTTGAGCACAAACTTTACATGGGCTCTGTGGAGATGCTTTATCACCACAAAGGGACAAGAAGGCCTCTTCTTCCTCTCCCAGAGCCAGTAGAATTATACCTTCTTCAGCTTTATCTAACAGATTCCAGGAAGTACTTGAACAAAAGAGTTCCACTGCTAACTGCATGACCAGGTAGTCTTTAAGATAAGCTTCATGACAGACAGACCTCTTAACCAAGGCTATATGAAATGTAAGGCAGAGAAGATAAACTTTTTCCAATCCGGGAGTGTTCTGTACTCTCCGAACATAGCAAAAGCCCTCATTCCTGCCTACAATTTTCCTCCAGCTCCATTCCCTTCTGATTTTTCCATGTGAACTCACCTTTAAGGCCACTAACTGCACTTTCTACTCACCTTCCACTCCCCCTTCTTCTTGACCTTCTTTATCACATCATGCATAATCTCTAAAAAAGGAGAGAAAGAGAAAATACATTTAATATAATATCAAAGACTTCTCCACCTCTCTGTTAGACAAGATCATTTCTCACCTTAGGCTTTGTGCTTCTGAAGCATGCAATTCACCACCTGGTTTACTGAGCCATAATCAACCCACCATAAAAATAGTTATTGGCCAGACAATGGTGGCTCACATCTGTAATTGATGCTAGGGATTCAGTGATGAACAAAATAGCACTTTGGGAGGATGAGGTGGGTATATCACCTAAGGTCAGGAGTTCGACACTAGCCTGGTCAACATGATGAAACCCAGTCTCTACTAAAAATACAAAAATTAGCTGGGCATGGTACTGCATGCTTATAATCCCAGCTACTCAGGAGGCTGAGACAGGAAAATGGCTTGAGCCCAACCCTGAGCACATCTGCAGAGAGCTCTCATCCCCAAATCACCATTTTGGTAAGTTATGCCCTGTTTCCTGGAACACCACAAACACACACACACACCTGACCAGCTGGGAGGCTTCATAGGAAAGTCCATTCTTGCTACTCTGTAAGCGCAAGTAACACATGTCTGGAGCTACTCGAAGGGCAACAGCCGTCATCAGCATGTATGCTTTAAACAGTTAGACAAATCTCTAAGGCTCGATGGTTCCTAACTCTGCTTTTGACTATCTTTAGTAATCTGATATGTCATAAGTGTCTAAAGTTTTAAGCACTTTTTTCCTGACTATAAAACACACACACACACACACACACACACACACACACACACGGCAGTAAACTTGGAAAAGACAGAAAAGTATAAAGAAAAAATTCTGGCCTGGGGCAGCGGCTCACACCTGTAATCCCAGCACTTTGGGAAGCCAAGGTGGGTGAATCACCTGAGGTCAGGAGTTCGAGACCAGCCTGATCAATATGGTGAAACCCTGCCTCTACTAAAACACAAAAATTAGTTGGGCGTGGTGGTGTGCACCTGTAACCCCATCTACTCAGGAGGCTGGGGCAGGAGAATTGCTTGAATCTGGGAAGTGGAGCCGTGATTGTGCCACTGCCCTCCAGCTCGGGCGACAGACCCAGACTCCATCTCAAAAAAAAAAAAAAAAAATTCCATGTACTTCTTGGTTTTTTTGTGTGTTTTTTGTTTTTTGAGACGGAGTTTCACTCTTGTTGCCCAGGCTGGCACACGATGGCATGATCTTGGCTCACCACAACCTCCACCTCCCAGGGTCAAGTGATTCTCCTGCCTCAGCCTCTCAAGTAGCTGAGATTACAGGCATGCGCCACCACACCCAACTAATTTTGTATTTTTAGTAGAGATGGGGTTTCTCTATGTTCGTCAGGCTGGTCTCCAACTCCTGACCTCAGGTGATCCACCCACCTTGGCCTCCCAAAGTGCTAGGATTACAGGCATGAGCCACCATATCTGGCTCCATATATTACTTGTGTACTAAAAAACAATCAGGCCAGGCGTGATGGCTCACACCTGTAATCCCAGCACTTTGGGAGGCTGAGGTGGCCAGATCACCTGAGGTCGGGAGTTCAAGTCCAGCCTGGCCAACATGGTGAAACCCGACATCTACTAAAAGTACAAACATTAGCCGGGTGTGGCATCTGTAATCACGCCAACTTGAAATGCATAATTAACATTTTTGTTTATTGGCTGGGCACGGCGGCTCATGCCTATAATCCCAGCACTTTGGGAAGCTGGAGGTGGGTGGATCACCTGACGTCAGGAGTTTGAGACCAGCCTGACCAACAGGGTGAAACCCCTTCTCTACTAAAAAATACAAAATTAACTGGGCCTGGTGGCGCATGCCTGTAATCCAAGTTACACAGGAAGCTGAGGCAGGAGAATCCCTTGAACTCGGGAGGCGGAGGTTGCAGTAAGCCGAGATAGTGCCATTGCACTCCAGCCTTTGCAAAAAGAGCAAAACTCCATCTCAAAGAAAAAAACACACACACAGTTTATGTCGTATTAGCTTTTTCTATGCACTTTTACATAGTTAAGATCATGTTGGCCAGGTGTGGTGGCTCATGACTAATTCCAGCACTTTGGTAGGCCAAGACAGGCAAATCACTTGAACCAGGAGTTTGAGACCAGGTTGCACAACATGGTGAAACTCCATCTCTACAAAAAATACAAAAATTAGCCAGTCATGATGACACACACCAGTAGCCCTAGCTACTCAGGAGGCTGAGGTAGTGGGACTACTTGAGCCAGAGAGGCAAAGTTGCAGTAAGCCAAGATCATGCCACTGTACTCTATCTAGCCTGGGTGACAGAGGGAGACTGACTCAAAAAAAGATCATGCTGTAGGTATATAATTTTATATTATGCTTTGTCACCTAACATACTCATTTCACCCATTTTAATAAAAATGCCTCCTAGGATTTTAAATGCCTGCATAATGGTCCATTGTCAACAATATTCCCGATAACCATTTAGATTACTTTTCATGTTTCAGTGTAGTGAAAAACTGGAAACCAATATATCTATAATAGGGCAGTGGTTAAGTTAATTAGGTTACATTTGTACAGTGGAATACTATGTATCCACTGGAAATAATTATATGGGAAAACACTTACTCATTCCAGCATTTATTTCACTCAAGCATTTGTTGAGTAACCACCACTTGCCAGCCATCGTACTAGGCCCTAGGAATGAACAAGATACTATGCCGCTCAGCTCCTGTGGAGCTGCTGCTCTAGGGAAGGAGGCAGCCACTAAATGGAAAGAGCAATTGCATCTTCTCATAAGTGCTCTGAAGTAAATAAATAAGGTGCTATGATTTTTTAAAAAAGGGTGTGGACTGCCTACTTAAGTAGGGAGTCAGGCAAGACCACTCTAAGCAAGATGGACCTGATGAGGAAGAAGTCAGCCAAGAACTAGGAAAAGGAGAAGGAACAACACAAAGTCTTGTGGAAAAAGGAAAATGAGCTTGACATTTTCTGGGAAATGAAGATGATATAAACTGAAGTTGAAGGTCAGACCATACAGAGCCTTGTGGTCCTTGATAAGGAGTGTGATTTTATCTGAAGGGCATTGGAGAGCCATGGAAGCATGTAATCTGATGAGCTACTGAGATCCAAGAGGGAGGGGGCAAGAACAGAAGCAGGGAGTGGAGTCAGGAGGCCTTTCCAACAGTGTGGGCTCGACAGTCGCAGAGGAGATGGGGAGCAGTGGGTAGAGTGGATATAATAGACTGTGGAGGTAAAGCCAGCAGGACTAGCTGATAAACTGGATGTGGTAGAAAAGAAAAGAAACATTGCTAACTCCCAGATTTTTTGTTTAAGCCAAGAAATTGATGTAGAGACATTCAGGGAGCTTTAGCAGGAGAAGAAATGGTCTGTAGGAGAACATCAGGAGTTCTATTTTAGTCGTTTTAAGAATAAGAAGGCTGGCTGGGCGCAGTGGCTCACGCCTGTAATCCCAGCATTTTGGGAGGCCGAGGTGGGAGGATCACAAGGTCAGGAGATGGAGACCATCCTGGCCAACATGGTGAAACCCTGTCTCTACTAAAAATGCAAAAAAATTAGCCAGGTGTGGTGGCACACACCTGTAAGTCCCAGCTACTTGGGAGGCTGAGGCAGGAGAATTGCTTGAACCTAGGAGGTGGAGATTGCAGTGAGCCGACATCGTACCACTGCACTACAGCCTGGGCGACAGTGCAAGACTCTGTCTCAAAAAAGAAAAGAAAAGAAAAGATTGAGATGGCTAAGACACATTCACGGGAAGACACTGAATAGGGCTGGAGATAGCTCTTGGGCTTGGAAGCACAACCTCAGGCTAGAGTGAAACACTGGGGACTTAATCATCAAATAGAGGCAGAAGGGACAACTGCCAAAAATGACTCTGATAAGATCAGTGACATGAGGATAGACATGGTCTTTGTGGACCTTGACAAGTGTCTCAGTGAAATAATAAGAATGAAGCCAGACTAAAATGGAAGAGGAGGAAGACAAGATAGACTATCTCAACAACTCTTAAAGAAGTTTTGCTTTAAAAGGTAGCAGAGAAAAGGCATGAAAATGAACAGGGTAGACAGAGACATAAATGCAAGGGCAGGATTTGTTTTTTAAAGATGTGAAAGATTCAGCATTTTTAGTGATGCTGGTAAAAAGTCAAAAGGGAAGAGGAAACTGATGATGCAGGAGAGATAATGGAGCAATAAAAGAAGGAAGTCCCTGAGGAGGAGGAGGAAGGAGCTGGAGCTGACACAAGAGGAGAGCCTGACCTGGGACAGGAGGCATCTTTGGGAAGGAGAGGAAAGCCGCAAATGGGCTTGGAGACATGGTGGCAGAGGTGAGGGGTTTCCTTGTTGGAGATGATGTCATTGGCTAAGAGTGGCAGAGGCGTGTTATATATGGAAGCTTTGAAGAAAGAAGGTATTACATATGTTCCCAGAGACTGGGCAAGTAAATTTGCTATGGAAATGTTTTAGCATTCACAGATAGTACTAAGGATTACTTTAACGTTCATGACCGTGAATTTAAAGTTAGACCAGGCAGCTTAATGTTTTTTCCCAATAATGTTCAGCTGTCGAGGTGCAAGAAAGGAAGGCTGGTTTCAAAGAAGGTTAGAGTTTTCATATACAAGTAGGAAAGAGGAAGAAAATGTTCAAAATATATGGCAAAGGGTGAAAAAAACATGCTACAACTATTTTTAAAGCAGATATGCACAGGAAAATTAGAAAAACTCACACCAAAAGCTTATTTGTGGGCAATAATGTCATACTTAATCTTTACTTGCCAATTTGTGCCTTCCAATGTTGTCCCAAGCTTCCTACATAAGAAAAATGCTCTCAAAATAATGTGTCAGTGAACATCTTTGTGCCCAGGGCTTTTCTTAGCATGAACTATTCTGTTAGGGCAGCTTTCTGAGTATGGAATAAACTGGTAAAATGTCTAAATATTCTGGGATCCTGATAAACTCTGCTGAATGACTTTCCAAAAGTATGTCTTCCACCCTCACCAGCACTATGTGATAGCTCTCCAAATTAACATATTAA